TCCACGTATGAATGAAGGAACGACGCATCATACAAAGAAATGATATATTTGTAGAAGGATAACGGATAACAGAGTGCGATCGGTATGTCAAATGATAAAATTTGATTGGGAAAACGAAATGTTCTAAAAATAATAATGAGTAAGCGCGACTCGTGATTGATTTTCATCTCGAGAATCATCGAACGTGATGTTTAATTTTATTTTATCGGACGCAACTCACAATCAGCTGTGTTTAGCATCACTAAAGTATACACACATTCGCACAAGTAGTTCGCGAACTGTCATCCCAAGGATACGAGGGAATATTAATATCCTCCTAAGTGAAGGCATCCAGATTCCCCACTAGCGTTGATGAAAAAAAATACGAACAAATTCCTGAGTCCTTCGTGCTTCATCGCGTTGTTGAAAGAGGAGGACACAATCTGAGACGAGGAAGAGAGAGAGATGCGACGATGTGAACCAGATTATGAAAATCGGGACGAACAGCCGTGTCGGTGTAGGTTAAAGGCTAGTTGCGACGCGGCCGGGGCGTGTAATAATGTCACTTTTATTAGTCTCATCAGGGTCGGGAGAGAAGCCATCCTCACCCGACCCACACGAGGGCGGGCTCCGTCGCTATTACCTAATATCCAACGTGATCGCGTATCTCATTACGCCGGCAATTTGCATCCATCGACGCGTCGTTGAGCGAGAAAGTTTTTTGCGCTTCTCCTCCCCGTGAGAGACACGACACGGCACCTGGTGTAAGACACTCTTCTTTTTCCTATATCTATATTTAACCTTTTCCCTACATCATGATGAGTGAAATATTTTAAGTACAAAAAAAAACCGGAAGATCTCTCATATAAAGAAATATAGAAAAAAGCAATGACAACAAACAGCTGATATATGAAGATTGAAATTGTTAGTAGTATCGCACAGAGAGAATTTTCTCTTATAATTTACCTTGAAAATTATGGTAATCGTGGGACAATATGACACTGGAAGCATTTAATGAGAGTTTCTCTGATTAATATTTACCACAATGAAATATAATGTTCAATTAATTTTATTATATGTACATATTAATATTTTTATTGTGATAAATATTTAATCAGAGAAACTCTTAAAATTCTTCCTTATTGTCCCATGATTCCCATGATTTTCAGGATAAATTCTAAAAGAAAATTCTTTCCGTAAAGCTTACAATGAAGGTAAAATTGAAAAAAATTGTCAAATTACATAGTAAAATTTACTATATATGTACATATTGATATTTTTCATCGTGATAAATATTAACCAGAGAAATTCTTATAAATTCTAAGGATAAATTCTTTTCGTGCGCAAATACCAAGATTCAATGATATGAAAAATGTCAAGAATAGGAATCAACACTGAGAATTCGCTAAGGAAATTCGAGGAAATATTTGAATAAGAGAGAAAAAAAGTCGTAGCACAATTAGTTTTGGCAGGAGAAAAGATTTTATCTTTGCTTAAGGTTGCATAAGCGGCTCGAGACCGCAAATTGTGGTTGACAAGTAATTATCATATTATATTTGCGGGAAACTTAATATTCCCCCATTGATGGAACGTATAGTCATTATCGATATTCATTTATACTTGGATTTAATTAATTGCCTGGTATTAAATATATATATAATTTAATGTTATTATGACTATGTAATGTCATATTGACTATATATATGTTATTATTGACTTGATTGAAGATTCACAAAGCGAAAACGACGAATCGGGTCACGCAAAATCATATTTCGTACGCAAAGGCTGCATTACTCGCGAACTCTCGTACATTTCGACCTGAAAATCGTGTTACACTGTTACACACCCTACAGCTACCTACGATTAATTATACTGAAAGCGCACGGTTGCGTAAATGCACCGTGTAATGCATCTGTCATCGTTCTCCGACGAAGTGGCAAGATGACACAACACGCAATCGTAAAGTAATGTACATATCTCAAACAAGATGTAAAAAATTAATCTATATGATAAATCATTTTTTATTCATATCTCTATGAATTTTTAAAATGCGAGCAAAAATTGCAACTGTTGTACAGCAGTTCAATCAAAACATGATAGCATTTTAATAAAAAGTAAAATTATGATATAGGTAGAGTAATAATGTGGCAACAAAGTGGACGATTATTAGAAAAGTAGCAGATGATTAGATGGTGACGTAACACGTAATATTCTCGCAGTTAAAATCTCATAATTCGCATAGCTTCTGGATGTTAATCGGAAAGGAGACAAAATTGCAGTGGGTTCTGCGAAAAGCGATTATCCAATCTGCAATTACTAACTACACCTCGCGGAATTATTACGCGTGAAATAAATTCCGATAATTTCTTTTTATACATGGAGAGAATTTTCTCTTAAAATTTACCGTGAAAATCATGATAATCGTGGGACAATATGGTATTGGAAGAATTTTATAAGAGTTTCTCTGATTAATAATTATCACAATAAAAAATATTATATATAATAAAATTAATCAAACATATTTTATACTATATTATGGTAGATATTAATATTTTTTATTGCGATAGAGAAGCGCGCTCTTATAAAATTCTTTCAATACTATATTGTCCCAGGATTTTCAGGGTAAATTCTAAGAGAAAATTCTTTCTGCACTTTCCGTCAACCTCGTATTTCTCTTCGACGCCGTTTCGGAACGTCATTGATGTTATACGTTGTTATATACGTGCACCAAAGTGCCACTCGGCATCATCGTTTCGCCTTGGAGAACGTTACTCAGCATCCATTGTACCGTTGTACAACTAAAATACCGCGTGCGTCACTCGATCCTGCGAATTAAATTGGCTTAATGCAATAATATTAGGAATTTCGCTTAATCGCCAATTATTGTTTTATCGCGGAAACCTTCGCAATGCACATATTAATCCGTATAACTCCCGTGTCGTGAATATATGTAATATATATATGTATATACCTCTGGTCACGCAACCAGGGAAGAGTCGAACCCTCCTATCCTTCACACAGAAACCGAAAAGAATGGGGAGGACGATATGCTATCTTTAGATATTATTTCCCGAGGAAATCGATTGATATAAAATCGCCCGACAGCGGGGAAAATATGTACTCTGTGAAGGAAAAATTGATAAGATTGGAATCTCTCTTTTCTTTCTAATCGCGTTTCAGACGCCAGATCCGATTTCGTTCCCTCGTAATCTCTTCGAAGGGATCGGAATCGAAGCCTCTTATTGAATAAGAAAAGAAAAAAATTGATATAGCAATAATGCAAGTATATAATAAATTTTCAAGTTCGGATAAAATCTGGAGGTTCGCGCGCAATTTTTTTGTCATCTAGAAAAAACGAATAAAAATTCTCTCCTCCGCGCCACATTTCTTCGGGGCACAGTATGAATCATCTCGCGCGGATTTTGCGAGGCGAGGATAACCTGTTTCTTAATCGGCCGTGTACGCGCGTTTACTCGAGCGTGCATTATCCGTGAAGAGAAACGGAGACAGTAAGAGGAAGGAGAGAGGAAGAAAGAGCGACGAGGAAGTGCGCGTGTGCTAGGGGAATTTCCAAGTTCACCAGGCACCTCCATCGATCTGCCGGCTATCGCGCTTTCGTGTGGCCGCCGGTTTATCCGGCCCGTTGCTGCACTTACGTGCCCCGCCGCGGCATTCACTTTTCCTCAAAGGTTCGCCAGAGGCTCCTACACCGCCGCCCGACCGAGCTATTGACCCCTGAACTTGACCCCCATAGAAGCGCGAGCCTAAATCCCGCGAAATGGAAACCGTAGCGATCAACCTCGGGAGGATGACGTTTCGACAAATGTTTTTTTTATACGTCTCAATGCGCTAAGGGTGGTATATATCCTCAAACATGGGCGTCCGGAGGGGCATTTGCCCCCTAGGAATCGGTAAAATATTCAGCGTTTGCTTTTCCTTTGACTTCAGCACTGGAATTTATTTACATATTTAATATTAAAAAATTTAATATAGAAAGAAAATTAAAAAGAAATTCAAGAAAAAATTTAATTATGTCCTCCTGGGAAAAATCCTGCGGGCGCTCATGTCCTCGAATAAAAAATTTATAGCAGATTTTTTTCTATCAGTTTCAGGTCTCGTTCTCTAGTGCACAGATTTTTATTTATTTTTTTTTACTGCGGATTTGTATCTGTTACGCTTGTTGTGCGAGTGTTGCGTAATAAACAAGGTACGCCCAGGTGTTGCCTCCCTCTTTCCCTCCAGGCCGAGGCTGAATATTGTTCGTGAACTCTCGATCTCTCTCACGATAGATGCGTTCCTTCGCGAGGGGGGAACAATAAGATTCACCTTTTTTTTTTCGAGGGTAGAACGACCAGGATCGATTCTATTGATCTATCGGTCATGGGACGCTAAGATGTCGAAGAATAGGTATTATTAGAGAGGTACATCTGGAAGTAACCTTTTGAAATCGTAATCTTTCATTTATATATTGATAATCTCTTCCTGTTTAAAGAGAACATTTTTGCGTCGCACGTTTCAAAGTATCAACCTGAAAAATACGTCGCCAGTGGATAACGCCTCGAGCGAATTTATCAAATATCGATTTTCAGAATCCCACCACCCTGAAGGTGGCTATAAAAATGGGAGATTCAAAGTGCGCATAAAAAAAGTTAAAAATTCGTATATTTAAATATTAATCATATAAGAGGATTTTCCTCAAAGCGAAGTCACCATCGTGGCGTATTTATGAGAAAAAAAACAATTTTAAGGAAGTGTGCACTAACCGACGCGGAAAGGATGTTCTCGGATGGAAGGAAAGCAGGAAGGGTGAAAATCCTTTTTCCGAGGATACTACGTAACGCCTGACTTGGATCTTTAAATGGCGTTCTTCGCGACGAAATTGCGTTGTATCGAATTATCCTTGTATCATCCAAGGATACTACGCGGATTCGAATATTTTTTTTTCAATAAGAAAAAACATATTTTTCGCAATGTATATATATTTCCATAAGAAATCCTGGGAATATCAACAAAATACTCACCGTGTTTTCCGCGTTTTCGGCGTGTGCTGGTCGACAAATCTTTTTATTTAATCCAAACAATTTCGCGCGCGAGTCGAAATCGCAGGGGAGAGTAGCACTCGGGATATTTCTCGCTTGATCTGTCCGCGCGGACTTGAATCTCGTCGAGGATGCGTTATCCTGCGTTACTTTCGGTCGACGAATCTAAACGGCGCGTGTCAACGGCCGTGCGAAAACAAGCGGGAATACTCGCTGTAGGCGCGCAGCGCGATCGAGACAGCGGCAAGAACACCCGACACCGTCAAACGTAGCCGAGTAACTGACTGCCGACTGACGCCAGCGCGTACCGCGAACGCCAGTTCCCCCACTCTGCCGCCATCTCGTCCGTCCTTGTCGCGCGCTTATTGGTCGAGCGCTCCGTCCTCGTCGCGCTCCCATTGACCCTCGCTCCCGTTCTGCGCGCGCATTCGCGCATTATAATTTCGACTTTACGATCTTTCATTCGAATCTCGAAATTGAGAAAAAGATTGCATTGTTCCTCCTACGGAAAATTAAAATATAACATAAAACAAAGCATAAAAAAGGATATATGCGATAATTATAACGATACAATTGTTAACGACAGTTTTATCTGTATTTATGTTATTAGACTTGACATTTATGATTTTGAATTATATTCGGTGTAGGTGTGAAGTTAATCGGGCTTAATTTCCAATCAGGGTTGCCACCTCCGGATATACGAGCCTAACTTCAATCTCGATGCAATTGTCCCCTCGAGGATTCTTCAGAGTCACCCCTTGCGCAAGTTTATCACGATCAATGAACGCGATTCACGAGTCAATCTAATCATAGTTTCTCGATGTTAAAAATTATCAAGCAACATCAGAATCGCAGAGATAGGATTTTTTCTACAGAACACGTTATTTTAATGGAAAAAAAGAAAATGACATTTAGCGCGAAACGCGAGCTTCAAAGCAGCGCGCGCGCGCGCGTTTCGCGGACCGCGTGTCGTATCGACCCTTCACCATTGGATGACGCATCCTCCAATGACCGGCCGGCCCAGCGATTACGTCATTCTAGGGGTATATTATTGACGCCGGGCGTGCAACGGCGTCGCATTGCCGCGTTTTCTCCGGGGAGGCATCCCTCCATGTCTTACGACATCCCCTTGTCCTAGGGGTCGTGTAATGATCGGCCACCGGTATGCCGGTATACGATGGATCGCGTTTAGGTAGATAGGTAGGTTTAATCCTTTCGAGGAACTTGACCCGGTGCCCTGGGAAGGCCTGTTCGTACTTCCGAAATTTGCGGTTATGCTTCTTAAAATATATCGCTTCGGATATAAATTATTCTCTCCAATTGGAACAAAAGATAGATTCCTCTTCGGGATTTAGAGGGTGAGAATGTATTATTTTTAATGCAGCAGAAGAATTTAATTTCTTATGCATCTTGCTGTTTCTGTAGGAAATATATATAAAGGGTCACTTGCGAGAATAAATTTTGTCCTCTCTGGTTTTCTAATTTTAATTCATTCAAGGGAATATAAATGTGATTAATCTTGCAAAGATTTGATATTTTTAAACGGGGAATTTTGACGCAGTTGCGGAATGCGCATTTCGCCGCGTTTTGACCTTCTTCGCTCAATTTCAGGAATGCGAATCTTCGTTTCAACCGGCGCGGCGGACGAGGAGTAACGCGCAAACACGATCGAGGCACGATTCGCTGCATATCTCGCCCTTGTTTGAAATTGAAGTCGAGGACGAAATTAGCGTCGTTGCGGACACAAGGAGTCACCGGCGCGGCGTCGCGCCGAACAATCGATATCTCATCCATTTCTGCGAAGATCAGAGGCCGCGTATATCGACGAATGAATATATACATCGAATCGAAGCCATTTCGCAACAAGCCCCGTCGTTCTTTAAACGCGAATTTCAAGCCTATTGATATATTATACATCAATGAATTTAAAAAGGGTTTAGTATTCTCTTCGCTCTGAAATATATTAATCACGAGTTTTAGCTTGTGTTTACCCCCGCTTCGCTTTTCCCTTTCAATTGTATTATGTAACTTTTGTATGCTCGATATCCGCAACACGCGAGATTAATATTTGACAAACTCCGCATTTCCATTTTACAAAGTCTGAAATTCACTTTAACGTATACATTTTTAAATCATTTTTTAAAGCTTAATTATCGCATAGCTACCCAGCAAACACCAATATATAATTGTTACATTGCTATAATAAAACGGAATATAACAGGTAATATAACATGTACGTTACATGTAACATCCATGTTAGTTGTAATTTCTCACTCATAGATGTAACATTTTAATATAACATATATTACATTGTAGTTATATTGTAATTATATACCAAATAGCACATTGATGTATTAATAAGTCAGTGCTATCTTGGGATATAATGACAATATAACTACAATGTAATATATGTAATATTAAAAATGTTACATCTATGAGTGGGAAATTACAACTAACATATACGTTACATGTAACATGCTTAAGTATATAACATTTATATATTGTGTTTGTTGGGTATTTTATTAATCAGAGCATCCAAATTAGAAAGCACGGTAATAAGAATTTATCAAGTAAATCTTTCAATCAAGAACAATGTTTGTATATTTCTCATTATTTATATTTGTTTAATTATAACGTGAACCGCAAAGATTAATTGTCATGTAAGATCGATTTCTCGCGGTGTTCTGATTTCGTTGAACGATATATTGTATAATTGTCGTTCGTGGACGATAAAACGACACAGATTGAAAATGATGATAGGTCCGCCTTCTCGGGACATTAGTCGGGGGGGAACTCCCTAAATTAGCACTCTATGTGCTCCATACGGACTTCCGTTGTGGCAAATTGGTGAACGACTTACAGAAGATTAAGTAAAGAGAGGGAGAGAAAGGGAGAAAGAAAGAAAGAAAGAATGGCGTCACTGACTTGGAATTCGAATCCTGTGTCTTCAATTGATTCGCATTATCCTTGTTCTTGCGAGAGAATGTCGTGTCCTCTATTTTTTCCTTTCACTTTTTGTCATCATTTGTGTATCGATTGACTGTAAATCGAGATTAGTCTCGCTCAAATCTGTTAATTTTTTATTAAAACATTGTATTTTTGTGTAAATTGACGGAAGAAGAGAGGAGATAAAATATTTATTTTGTTAGATCTTAAATTCAAGGTTTTGCAAAGGATGTATTAAAATAATATATAATATATTTATATATAAATATATAATATCTTTAAAATAAAAGCATATAGTTACGTTTGACGTAATTAGATTATACAGGAATGAACTCTCAAGCTTGGCAATAACACTAATAATTTATATGCGCGTTTTCTACTAAGTCTATTAAATTTAACTCTCGCTTATATTTCTAAAATTATTAGATATCTAATTGAAAAAAGAGAGATTATATACATATTATAATTTAAAAAATATTTCAATCCTGTTATCACGAGTAAAAATACTAATCTGTCCTTTATTGAAATAAATTGATGCTGTTTATTAATAGGACTCGAGGCGTTGGAGAAGGCGCTCTACTGCTGGGAAGACGCGCTCACCGCGTTCAGCTCGACCCTGAGCAACGACGCCCTGGCTCTGCCGTCAAAGGCCGACGCGGCGTTCACGCACGAGGTGCAGGAGTTGCTCGACATGGGATATCAGATACAGAGTCACGCGGAACTGCTCTTCCTCGATCAGGTAACGGCGCCGCCAATTCGGGATGATGCTGCGGGATTCGCCCGAATTCGTACACAATGACTCAGCGAGAGATCTCGGAGTCCCTGCTGTCCTTCGCGGACCGCGGTCATCGTGCCGATGCCGTTCCATTCCGCTGGCATTCATCATCAATTGTCTTTCTGCTGCTGAAAAAAAGAACTGCGGGAATTAATCCAATTTAAATGACAAACCGCCCCCGGGGGTAATTAGCGCAACGAGTTACTTGACCTGACGCCGGCCACTAGTCGGGAATTGTCGCGGACGTTGGAGTGGCATAGGAAGTACACGATTTTCTTCGAGAGCAATCTGAGTTTTCACCGTTTTCGAATTCACCTTGTTTTACATATAATTTATATAAGCGTTTGTTCTGTCATTTTTTGTCGATTATCTCATTATTTATTTATTTTTTCTCAGCACTCCGTGTTATTTCGCAATGAAAGCGAGGAGAGCCTCAACAGAACTTCGAACATCGGGACGCGGATGTCTGGAGTCAAAGACAGAGCCGATGCCGCATCGTCGCCCGAATCGTTTGAATCTGCACGTGACGGGGTGAGTCGCACATTAATATATTCTATTTGTATCGTACAGAGATCGAGTTGCGAGATGATAATAATTTAGTCGATATATAATAATGTATAACGTATAATTTCAAGCTATTTTAGTAATTACATTAATTTAAAGGAAAATAAAATTAAAGAGTTAAATGTACAATATTTATAAAAATATTTTAGGTTGCGGATTTGCGTGAATTCGAAGAATTCTCAGAACTTTTTCCACACTTTGAGAGTCAAAAGCTATATCATGCTGCTCTTAAACAATATGAGGACAAGGGTATTCCGTGCAGGTAAATCATTGTTGATGGTCGATATAATATACATCTTTTTCACACGGCTATATACACGTAATTGTTATAGGAGATTACATACGGAACTTGTAAAGTGTGGCTCGGACGTAGAATATTTAGCAAAAGTGTACTGTCTACGTCAGGCCTATACAAAATTATTTAATTTACCCGTAGCAGCGGCATTTATGGCGGATATAGGTCGCCAAGTTATTAGCGATTTAATTATGTATGCAGATAGGGTAAGAGAATAAATTATTTATCTATTCGAGTAAATATAGAGATAAAAAAACTTGAGAATTAATTAAGAAAACAAACTTCTATTAGGATCCTAAAGACTATCTACTGCATTATGAACGTATGTTGGTGTTTTTGCAAGAGCCACGCAATCATAGCATCATGGAAGAGGAATTGACCGCACGAGGTGTCAAGTGTATGAATTTCTACGACGTTCTCATCGATTTTATACTCTTAGATGCATTCGAGGATGTGGAAAAACCACTACCACCCATCAGAGCTATAGTTCAAAATAGATGGGTGTCCGCCAGTTTTAGGGAAACCGTAAGTATATAAATATTAATTTTTTTCTAGTTTCTGATACTTTCAACATGATTGTTAATTATTTTTAAAGGCGATAGGAACGGCAGTTTGGTCCGCTCTCGCGGGTAAAAGAAGAATGTTGAAATACGACCAAGGCTTCTTAGCGCACTTTTACTCCATCTCTGAACAAATAATACCAGTCCTTGCTTGGGGATTCTTAGGCTCCGAGGGCAATCTACGTTCCACTTGTCATTACTTTAGGGATCAAGTGATCGAGTTTCTTGTAGATATATTTAATTTCTTTAAGGTACGATACACCACAGTTGACGACCTTGCCGCGGATATACTTAGGGAAATGAAACTAAGGATAGAAAATATAAATCAAAGATTGTCATTAGAAGGTTGCTAGTTATACAAAACATATACAGACAATTAATTAGCACAGTATATTAAGTAGAATTAATATATTGCAAAATACGTTGCATGTATATGCAATGAAAATGATATCTTAAAGGTTCAACACCTATATTGTAGAAAAAAATGTCACAATGCCAACAACATTAACGAAATTACACCTGCGATCTGATAAGTTTGTAAGTAGCACAATATGCTGCATTTTAATTTTCAATGCCACACCCATCAGTATAATTACACAAAGTGTAATTACCGTTGTAAACACTCTATTTCTGAAGTTACCTTGTGAAGTAATGTGCAAAAATATTGTGCGCTCTTATGTCATCAATTTCATTAAAAGTTTCGCATCTGTATATTAAATTTCACTAAGTAATTGCATCTTAAAGAAATATTAGTGGTCTCTGATATCTATTTCTATGAAAAAACAAAGAAGATAGTAATGTTTGTGATATGGATGTATAAATGAATATTACATTTATAAAATAAACTTTTATTTATAAAGAATTTAAAAAATTATACGCACAATTAAATATGACATTCGTTTTCAAGTTATAAGTAGACATTATATTATTAAATTATGATATAATTTTTGTTTGTAGACTTTTGTGGAATATTTGTATAAATTGTATTTTGTCATTTCTTAAAATTATTATAATTTTATTTATTTGCGAATTGTAGCTTCATTCTTTATTTTGTTTTTTTGTAGATTTTGGGACATCCATATTTATAAACTGTATTTGTACAATGATACTTTTGTGATATTTTTTTGCATTGTTCAGAGAATTATCGTTTTTATTTTAATAGTCTTATTTTAATAAACATATTGCAGTATATAATAATTTATGTGATGAATTGTAGAAGCATTTAAGTGAAATCAGTATGTATAATACAACTGTTCCTTATAAATGCAAATAAGATATAAATTTCTTTACAGTTAGTCACAAAAAAATCACACCTGACTTTATCAACAAATTTTTCCGATATTTTTTAAGCTTATATTTTGTTAGTTATTTATTACATAAGATGCTAATACCATAAAAAATAACACAAATTGCCACTAATGTTATTTTAAAATAGTTATCATTGTCAACATATTTGTAAAGTATTACAGTATGTAAAGTACAGATTATATATCATATAATTAAATGATTAATTGCACCAAAGACATGTAAAATGTATTAATTAATGATTGCAGATTATCTTTTGTCAGTTTAGTAACATTCCATAATATTTAAGATTTAAGCAATCAATTATATAAGATGTACATTTCATATATGTAAATATTTTTGAAATTTATGATTTAGTAAGATATTTTGATTAAATACATTTAATTATTTTTATTTAAAAAAAGTGTATCTGATGATGATATATAAATTTTATGACATTTGATTTTTTTGTAAATATAATTTTGAAAATAAAAATCTAAAAATATTTTGTAGATAAATTTTTAATATATGTGAAAAGTAATGTCATATGTATGCATAAGCAATGTACATGTATTATGTTATTCAATTATATACATATTTGTTACAAAAGATATTGTTTTGTATAATTATGCAAATAAAAACAAATTTCAATAAGCTTCTACAGTGTGGAAATAAATATTTATTTTACAAAATATACAATGATATATCAATCAATACTTTGAAATACTGCAGTTTTATTGCATCAAAAAATTAAATGTTAAATATTGGCAGAGAAAGAGAGAGAGAGGGAGAAAGAGAGCTATGACAAATTACTATTCCCGATTCAGTTTTTGATGAAAAAAACAATTTAAAATTTTTCGAAAAGTTAAATTTCTTCTAAAATATTATGCTTATTATGAATAATATATGTAAATATATGCTTATTATGAATAATATATTAAAAATATATGTATGCTTAATTATAAAAAGTGATTATTAAATATTTTATTTTCTTTATACTGCTAATATGGCACAAAAAGATTCAAAATGCTTATTAAGCATATCGAGAAAAATCTAATGATTCATCCTCAGATTCTTCTTCCTCGCTAGACGGCACAACAGGCATTATATTTTGTTGGTCATACTTTCTTACTATAAAAAAAAAAGTATACATAAAATTGAAAAATTAAAAAAAACCTTATCTCTGTACATTTGTAAATAGCAGTCCTAAATATAATAAAAAATATAAAATATACATAGTTACCTCCAAAATTGATTTTCTTTTTTTGAATATTTTCTTCATCTATATTATCTTTATCATATGATATATATTGATTCCTTTCTTTGGAAAGAATCAATCTCAACCATGGAAACCCTATTAAGGTATGAAGATAATACATAAGTCTTCTCTATGAAAAAAAATGTAAAACCCACAATTACATATTTATATAGTATTTCAATTACATTTCAGTGCTTTTGTAAGGTAGATTTTAATTTCCCTTCCAACATTTTTGTGTACTGTTTTTTCTGATATTACTGCTCCAAACAAATAGAGGACAAGATAGTATTTTTTATCATTAGTTTTTGTACTGTAATATACGATATAAAATTAGTTTGATATTCAACAACATACATATTTTTTGGTAAATATGCAGAATGCTTATTCTCTTACCAATATCAATTAAATTTCATTTCTATAATTGTATCTTGATGTATAAAATAAAAATACAATTAAAATTGTTATTTATATATTATATAAAAATTTGTATGTACATTTTTTATACATATTTATACTTATTACATTACATTTAATTTATATATATATATAAAATAAATTTTCTAATTTTAAGAAGCATTATTTTAAAGAAAAAGCTTTACAATACCTTCCACAGGATCGATGATTTCGATTATCATTTTTTTTCACTCACCAAATTACAAACAATCCTAGCAGGTTTTATCCAGGTTTCATTTAAAGTTTTATTCAAAAGGCTAAAGAAATGAGTATGCTGCATATTTACCTTTTTTCTATTATTTATTGCAAATATATACCTGAAAAGCAAATGATTATCCTCGACTCGAAGATAATAATTAGATACATCAATTAATTGAATACGAATGGTGACTGTGAGATCTGTTTGATACCAAATAATTTTTGGTATACTATATTTGTTAACAAGCTGTGGACAATTCATGGCTACGAAACTGATTTTGAGCGATGGTGTATCTTCGTTTCATATAATAAGAAAATAAATAAAGTAAGAAACACTTTGATCGATATAGGAACACGTTTGTGTACATTGAACTTGGAAGGAATAATAACGCATGCTATTAATAAGTGCGTTCGAAAATTTTATTCATAGGGTAAAGTAGTCTTCAATCGACCAATTAGAGCAAGAAATTTCTTTACTCCTGATTGGTCGATCGAAATTTATTCTATCCCATGAGAATTTCCGAACACATTCTTATATATATATGTGTATATAAATGATGTGTAAACAGCATAACATCTCACGAGGAACGGTTTTTCGGCCATTTTAATCCGAATTTTATTCGATTCAAGTTGCGCGATGACATATTGGAATTCATGTACGAACGATTGTTAATATGTACAAATTGTTCTAACATCATCATTAAATTATGACTAGTTTCTCTTTCTGATGAAATTCATGTTAATCTTGGTTTATCTCACTTGATTTGACGAAAATTGACAAGGATAATTTAACGATTATAAATCACGTGTATATGAAAAATAGTTTTATCCCTGAATTAATCTCTTTCAGAGTTTAAATATCATATATTTAGCAAGTACTTGAACGTGATCAAAATGATTGACGTAACGCAGAAAAATATCAACGAAAATGTACTGAAATTAGTGAACAGAATTCACTATGGGTAAGAGAAAACGCATCAAATTTCAAAGGACAAATTATTTAATTAGCTTTTTCTATTTCAGAGATATTAAGGGTACATATAACATCGTAATGGCTACCATTTCCGTGCTGAAGGAAATCATCAACAATACAGAATGGAACACAGCAAAGTATGGAGCTTTATATATAATTGTTAATAATCAATTATCTGATGACATGTTTCTCTTTTATATAAAATACTTATCTTTACTTTATCATATTTGATTTTGACAGAAATTTAATGGACAATATCACGCTGAACGGAAAGTATTTGATTGAGGCGCTTCCTCTGGAGGCTTCTATTGGAAATATGGTAAGAAGAATGCTGCAGATTATTAGAGAAGAGTATATTTCGGAATTAAAAAATAAAACAGAAGAAACAGACCCTCAAGAATCCTTGCACAAGATTCTCACTGCAGAAAGTGATCAACAAATAGACTTTAATACCTCGGTGCCTTCTCTCAAATCTGCTCTCCTTGAGCATACTGTCGAATTTGAAACCGAGTTGGAAACATGGTGAGTTACAGTTGTATCTTTCTAGTTAAAAAAAGTGTTACTAATATTTGTCAAATGTATTGAAAATTGTTGATGGTTTTTTTTTGTGATATTAATTTATTGTATTGTCCTTCATAAGCAGTTATTATTGTTGAGATAGTGTTTTGATAATTTGAAAAGTCAGTAAAAACATTATAATACATTTTAGTTTATAGTGTTAAATTGAGATATTTCAGCTATCTCTTTATATTAATAAATAATTTTAATAAAAAGATTTATTAAAATTTTATTAAGAGATTTTGTAAAAATATGATAATATTCATATGTATAATAGACTAAAATGCTTTCAAATTTATGCTTTCCAAAATTAATCAAATTAAATATTTTCAATAATTTTCTTCTATCAAGTATTATTATACTATTTCTTTATATTAAAAAAGTTTAATATGCTTTCAGTTTAGAAAACATTACAGAGCAAGCATCTGAACACATACATTCGAACGAGATTATAATGACCATTGGAAAATCGAAGTTGGTTGAAGAATTTTTTAAGAAAGCTGCCAATAGCAGAGCCTTCGACGTTATAGTAGCCGAGGGTGGGCCGTTTTTAAACGTAATTAACTATACATATATTATATACTTAATATAATTATATGTTTAGTTTTAGGAAAAAATCATAAAACAAAAAATGTACAGAAAAATAAAATAATTACAGGGTCACGAAATGGCCGTAAACCTGGCTAAGGCGAAGATCAAGACTACTCTGATATCGGACGTGGCGATCTTTGCAATGATGTCGCGAGTTAACAAGGTCATAATTGGCACTCATACTGTTATGGCGAACGGTGGACTTCGAGCGATCTCAGGAACGCATACAGTGGCGCAAGCTGCCAAGCATTATTCTGTTCCTGTGATGGTTCTATTACCACTTTACAAACTATCGCCTCTTTATCATTGCTCATACAAACAGGACGGTTTCAACAAGCACGTTTCGCCAATACAAGGAGTAGTCGACAGTGCTAATGCACAATTACTTGAAAAAATACATGCGTACAATCCTGTATTCGATTATGTTCCACCAGATCTAGTCACATTATTTATTTCGAACACGTAAGTTAAATCGAATTAATTATATTTATACAATTTTTGAATCAAGTAAAAAAAGAATTTTTTTTTCAGGGGTGGAAATGCACCATCTTACATATATAGATTACTTAGTGAATTATATCACCCTGATGATTATGAATTGTGAACAGTTCAGAATTATGTACGCATTATAAAAAGTAATGTAATATAATCTAATATGTAAATATAATTTATAAATATAACACATTTTTAAATAAATAGAAATCAACATTTATTTTTAGATGTATATAAAAGTCAATATTGGCGATAATATAGATATGGACACTAGTGCATTATAACAATATTTACAAATTCATAATGAGTTATAAATTATATATTACAAAAAGGAAAGACTTGACATCTTAAAATGCTATACGTATGGATTCCAATTGCTACCATCCTCTGGTTGTAAAGAGTTTGTTACCAGTAGGATGACATCAACGATCCACCATACACCCATACCACCTAATGTCAATAATTTGCCTACTGCTGTCCCAGTTTGTCCAAGACAAAACCGATCCATGCCAAGAAACCCCAGCAGGATGCTATACAGAAGAGTTGTTGCAAAATAATGATCGCTGTACTTTATACATGGTACACCTTCACGAAAAAATGTTCTTGGTCCGTAACATTCAATATCTGGCAGCACTGTACAAGATACTTTAGTTTTCTCAACATCCTCATAACGAGACCCTCCAAACTAGAAAATTGAATCGTAATCTTACGTACGTGGAATTGTGTATATTAGAAAAAAATCGATGTATATGTTACAAAAAAAAAGAGAATTTGGTATACATTATACCTTGACACAACCAAAACCAGTTTCTTCCTTGGCAGTCTTATTCCCTTTGTGATCAACCGGGTCCTCGCATTCTATAAATTCTTTGGGTCTAAAAAGATCATATTGTACATGTTTTTTTTTTTTTATTTACTTAACATAATTAAACATCGAAAATCAATCGACTTACAAAAATTTGCACATAACTAGAGGACCGTCAGGCCTGTACTCCAACTGTTGATCGGTACTTCTGTTTGTGCTAGCATGCACTAAACCGTTGTTTCGATTCCATAAAGAACAAATAATTATCACAATAAAAGCGAGATATAATTTCATTTTGCTGTTGACATTTTAAACGCGACTGACATCATTGGATCTCATCCATAACTGATAAAGTATTTCAGGCTGGTACTGTACGACGTAAAGTTGGTCAAACGTACACATTTATTGGTTATTACTTCGAGAATTTCTAGGATTCCGATAAAGACTCTAGAAATTCTCTATTCAACAACCAATCCATACGCTCGACGAACTGTCATTCTCATACATAACATCAGCTGTAGTTTGCAAATGTGTGTGAAATAATGTTATGACACAAATGTATGCGCAGATATAATAGATGAAATAATTTTTGTGTAATTATATGAAATGTGATATACGTCTATATCTGATACCACATCATATATATAGATATGATATCATATTTATATTATCACAATATGTGATATAGAAATTACGATATAATATTTAAAGGATATAAATAATTTATTTTTAAAAAATCATGTTGTCCTTAAATCGACATTATTTGACATATAAATGCGTTGATTCAATCTTGTCAAAGAGATTCAAGCATCAATTTAATTCCAAACATGTTTCCAAGGTATACAGGCGCAATATTAAATGTTATAATTTTATACTTGAAATAATTTATAAAATCAGATATTATATTCTCTTGTATTTATATAGAAATTATATGAAGTACTTGGAGTAGCAGAAGATTGCGAGGATGAGACCTTAAGATTAGCATTTGTACATCTTGCAAAACGATTTCATCCAGATAGTGGGACACCAGAAGCTAATGCTGTTAGATTTTCCGAGGTAATATGTTACAAAAGAACATTGATTCTTAAGATAAGTAAAAAATTCATTTATCTTTATTTTGTTATGCAATTGTTTAAGGTAGATTGAAAGCGCCTATAGAGAAATTCGAAAAATTAGAAACACTCAGAAAGATGAAAAAACATCAGAAGTAGAGGACTTTGATATTAAGGTAACTATCTTTTTCCTTCATACATATAAGTAGGTATATGCTGATTTATGCTTTTATTTTAAGCACACAGCACCACAGCATCGTCATTATTTGACCTATGATGTGGGAATTGGCACACCTAGCAAAAGACAACGATTGCATACAATACAAAGAGCTCAGAAAGCAGTTGACAATGTAATGGAACACAGATTGAATAAATTGCAAGCCGAAGAGCGTAATACATTAATTGGTATGGACAAACAAAAGCCAAGGATATTAAAACTCGTTATGGAATGGATCGTTTGGTGGAGGACTTAATTCAGGAGGCAATGAACAAGGGTGAATTCAGTGATCTACCTGGAATGGGAAAACCATTAAATACTACAAATGTCAGTAATCCTTATGTTGATTTTGTAACTCATAAATTAAATCAGGTATGTAATAGACACAGAACATTAATTTTTATGGCTTGAATTTAAGTAATTCATTTGCATTAATTTGGAATTTTTATAGATATTGATAGACAATGGATTTACTCCGGAATGGATACAATTGTCAAAGGAAATCAGAGAAGAAATTGAAGAATTGAAAAAGAGATTATCAGAAGTACGTAATGACATAGGGGAACTTCCATTAACTCCAAAAGATGAATCAATATGGAAGAATAATTTGAAAAAATTCGAAACCACAACAAAGCAGATAAATATTAAAATTGATAAATACAATTTGTTGGTGCCCATACTACAGAAACAAATGCTTCATATTAAATTAGACGAGTTTGCTAAGAAGGCATTATTAATACCACCTGTAAAAAATGTCACAAAATATGCAAATACTAGTCACACAAGTTCGAATTTAAGTATATCTCAGGACTTTTTTAGTTTTATAAGCGACTTGTTTAGTAAGAAGGTTACATAAATAGCAGAATGTGATATAAATATTGTAAAATTATTTGTATATAAATATGTTGAGCTCTTGTTTATTTGTGGTTGTGAGATCAACTCACGTATAACAATATATATATATCAAATAATAGGATTGAGAGATTGTATAAAAAATATAATTTCTATTTATAAACTTCGGTATTGTATAAATCTATGTGTCCTCTAATTAATTCCAATTGAGAGTACCATCTTCTTTTAATTTTATACTACCAGTCGCCAGATGCTTTAAAGCACGAGGATAAGCTCGATGTTCCGCTGTCTTTACGCGTTCTTGCAAAGTATGTTCCGTATCATCTGGTAATACAGGTACTGCTTCTTGTTCGATAATAGCTCCTGAATCAATCTCAACCTAATAAAATATGTATTAAAAGCGTTAAATAATAATGAATTAGAATTGTCCCTTTTATCTATCCAATTAAATGAAATACGAATTTGATCCTCTCACTCTTGTACCTCAACAAAGTGCACAGTGCAACCCGATATGCGCACACGAGCTGCTAAAACATCCTTGTGTGCGTTTGGTCCCTTGAAAGAGGGTAGAAGACTAGGATGAATATTTAATAAAGCTCCTTTCCAATGTTTTACAAATTGCTCCGAGAGAATTCGCATGAAGCCAGCCAGACATACTATTTCTACTCCAGCATTATGAAGTTCCACATTCATAGCTGCATCGAAAGACTCGCGATTTGGATAGTCACTATGTTTAATTATCTACGAATAAAAATTTAAAAAAATATGACTTTGCAACATCTAGTTTTTTATTTGTTAGCTACCTATTGATATGTCATGAACATATTTATATAATTACCACTGTTTTAATGCCCGCTTTTTCAGCACGTTTTAATCCTTCAACACCGGACTTATTGGAAATCACTAAGACGATTTCTGCTCCAATGTTTTTAGACGAATCCTGAGTGGCGTTAATTAACGATTGAAGGTTTGTTCCGCTGCCAGATATTAGAACACCTACTCTCTTAAGAGGCTTGCTTAATGTTGCAACTAAATTGGGAACATATTGTTTCATTTTCAGCTCGAGAACCTTTTCAAAGCTTTCCACGTGTATTTTAGCCTTGTTATCTGTAATAATAAATGTATAAATTAATAATTGACGAGTTTTTGTTATACTACAATAAAAAGTTGCTTACCACCATATGTATTCACGCTTCCAATAACTACAGGATTTTCAGCGTTTAGTTTATTCAAAATTTCAATCTTGTCTTTTTCGGAACATATTAAGACAGCACCAATTCCGCAATTAAATGTCCTTAACATTTCGTGTTTACTGATTCCACCTATGCAAAACATGTTTTAATTAACATTTATCTATGTTATATTATGCATTTGCAATGAGAGAAAGAAATAAACCAATATACTTACCAATTGCAGCTAACCAGCCAAAGATTGGTAAAATATTCCACTTAGTCGCATCTAATGTCACACCCAAGTTACTCGGTAAAATTCTAGGTATATTTTCTAAAATACCACCACCAGTGATATGTGCAAATCCTTTCACTCGATTTGTTCGTAAAGCGGGAACGACGCTTCTTACATAAACCTTTGTTGGTTCCAACAGTTCCTCGCCTGCATATGTATAGTTTACATATACTCTGTTTTACACAAACTTAATATTAAAAAAAATCTTGGTTTAAAAATTGTCTCGTACCGATAGTTCGATTATTTGTTGAAAAAGGTGCGATATCAAAATAACTTTTGTCAGCGAGTTTTAAGACTTTTCGCACCAAGCTAAAGCCGTTGCTGTGCACGCCGCTGGACGGAAGACCGATTACCACGTCACCTTCCTTAATATCGTCCACTCGCGGTAACAAGTTGCCCTTTTCAACTGCGCCCACCGCGAAGCCAGCCAAATCGTATTCTCCCTCGCGGTACATGTCGGGCATTTCAGCCGTTTCTCCACCAATCTGGAAAATATGATACATTTCTCTAAATATAATATATAATCATTTCTATACAATATAATATTATATATTTATATAAATATAATCGCGAGAAAATTCTGAATAAATATACATAGTTCCATGCAAGACTTGAACACGACGTCTTGAAAATTTCTGTCTAAATTATATGTTAACGTTACCAAGGAACATCCCGCTTGCTTGCAGCCTTCGGTTATTCCGTTTATGACTTTTGCAGCCACTCCAACGTCGAGTTTGCCGCAGGCGAAGTAATCTAGAAAAAACAACGGCTCCGCGTTGTGCGCAAGGACATCGTTTACGCACATGGCAACCAGGTCGATGCCTACCGTGTCGTGTTTGTTGCATTCGATCGCTATCTGTAAAGAGAAGATTGTTATTCGTATAAATACAACAGCAGAGGATAATTAATTTTAATAATAATTTTATTCTTGAGAGATTCACCTTTAATTTGGTACCAACACCATCGGTACCAGACACCAGGATAGGATCGTTATAACCCGCGGCTTTTACATCAAAGAGACCTCCGAAACCTCCTATGGTGCCCAGAACACCAGCGCGTTTCGTGGAGCAAGTAGCTGGTTTGATGACGGATACAAGATGATCGCCGGCGTCAATATTCACGCCGCTAATTTTGTATGTTAAATTTCCCTTTTGTAAAATAGATCTGAAACATTTGACTTGTTAAATTCATCCGTTAAATATTAATTTAAATATTATCTTATCTTTTTATAATGTAAGAGTTAATCGAATTATATACCTAGCAATTCCTTTGTGCGCAATATCTGTTCTGAATTGTTTTCCGTCAAACGAAATGTGTCGAGCAGCCTGGGTGGCTCTAGCTGTTGCCATCGCTAAAGTAGGCGCTACATTGACAGTGATGAGAACTCTTCCACCTAAAAGATAATACATAATAATTTGAATGTTTATTTATAGATATCTTTCTTACTGTATTAAAAAATATATGTATATGCTCTAATATTTATGGAGGAAAAATATTCTAAATATGTACATAAAAATATATATATTGTGATTGTGAAAAATTACCGTTAGTTATTAATTCGCCTTCTGATGAAACGGCTGTGCCACAATGAAAGACAAAGCAGTCCTGTTTACATGTCACTTCATCGATGCCTGTTATAATTTGACCCTTGGACGAGGACTCTGGATAACCGCGAGATGCTAAAATCACACCTACAGCAGATACATTCTCTCGCCAGGAAACAAGAGGTGCGTTTAGAGTTTCTTCGCAGCAAGCCTGTAATTTTGATACATTGTAGCGATATAAAAATAAGATGTATATGTTTATATGTGATCCTTTAATAAATTCATATTAAACCTTCATAATTGTAAACAGATCTGATGTCAACATTGGTAATAGAACCTCCGTTTCAGGATCCCCGAATCTGCAGTTAAACTCCAAAACTTTCGGACCATCCTTAGTCAGCATTAAACCAGCGTATAATACACCTACAATATTTACATTTTATATAAATTATATACAATAATATCTAATATATATCAATGTCGATAAAAAAATAACAAACCAACAAATGGAATGTTCTCTTTTCTAAGTCCATCCACAGCTTTCTGTAGAACATTTATTTTCACCTGTTCATATTCTGTTTCACTTAGTAGCGGACATGGGCAATATGCACCCATTCCACCTGTATTTGGTCCAGCATCTTCATTAAAGATTCTTTTGTGATCTTGCGCAGGCATCATAGGTACGACAGTCTTGCCTAAACATTAATAGATTTAAAGAAAAATTTTCAAATATTTTTCATTAAAAAATTAATTAATACAAATTTACTTTAATTATGAAAGTTTTAAATAAATTTTACTAACCATCTGTAAATGCAAGTACAGATACTTCTTCACCTTCCAAGAGTTCCTCAACAACAACAGTCTCACCAGCAACTCCAAATTTCTTGTTGTTTAACATCTCATCTATCGCATGACAAGCCTCTTCCTGATCTTTCGCCACTACGACACCTTTACCGGCTGCCAAACCCGAGGCTTTCACGACAAGTGCTTTAAAGGATGCACTAGAGCAAAGAAATATATTATAAATTTTTATTTTATCACAATATCTTTCTGTTGAGATTTTTCACTTACGTTTTCACAAAATTCTTTGCATCTGCTGCAGATGTAAAACTTTGCCATCTAGCAGTAGGAATATGATTTCTGTTCATAAACTGCTTTGCCCAATCTTTGTTAGCTTCAATCTGAGCTGCTTCTTTCTGTGGTCCAAAACATTTCACTCCCACATCCCTCAGATCATCCGCTAATCCCTGAGCCAGAGGATCCTCTGGTCCAACCACAACAATATAAACATTATTGTCTTTGCTCCATTTAGCAATTTCCTATGAAAAGAATAATTAATATAATTAATATTGTGTATAAAAAATTGTAATGTATATACATATATGTATTTTATTATATATAGTATACCTTAGTATCCTTAATATTTAAGTCAACTAATTGAACTTTATCCACTTGTTTGATGCCAACATTTCCAGGAGCAACTAAAATCTCTTTTACCTATATCAAATAGAATATATATTATTTTAATTTCTATATCCAAGATTGTAATTATTTTTGCAATTTTCATTTATCGATTCACTTACATGGGGTGACTGAGACAATTTCCAACAAATAGCATGCTCTCTGCCACCACCGCCAATCACCAAAACTGTATGCTGCATCATCTGCAAACATGTAAGATGACATATTTTAATAAACAATGATAGCTGCACAAATATTTATATATAAAAATTACTTCTTTATGTCATAATTGCATTATTTATTCACAAATATATATATTATATATAATTATTTATTTGTCACAATATACTCACATTATTTATTGACAAATATTTATATATACATTTATTATTTCTGTCATTATTATTAAGCACTAACACACACACACATATATTCATAATATCTAAATTTAATATTTTCGAGATGCAAATATTTTATAAATTCTATACTTACAAAGAGCCGGTGTGTGTCTAATTATTTATCTTTTTCAGACTCTGGTCAGAGCGAAAATACTAATTAGGAAGATTGCTAGAAATTTTCCTTGATCACGCACGAACCTTCGAACGAAACGTGAGATGCCACAGGTGGTCGGAAGAACATGAAAACGCTCGCACGACTATTCTAATCTTATTGAAGGCGATGAACGATGAACACGAGATAATTCAATCACTTGCCTTACGCAATATGGAACCGGTCCCGTTGTTATTCGCGGGGGTTAATCCATAATAACATGCATTTACGTCATATTGACGTATCATAATAATATAAGAAATATATAAATATTCGCAATAAAATATTTCCCATATTCAATAAGAATATTTAAAATCGTTATCTTTTTTTAACGAGATCTCTTGTCTTTCATATACGCCACAAGGTTATACTTTTCTTCCATATGTTGTGTATTATGAGAGATATTCATAAGGTAAAGATACAATTTAAACGTGCAATTGTGACCTTACAAAATATGTATTTAGTAATAAGCAAAAGAAATTTAATAATAAACATTCTTCATATATATGTATTTTTCAATATAATCATCTGTCAAAAAATTTGCTCCGAAATTTTGATAATTAAAAATATTTCGACAGTTCTGTCCAGATAATTGTTAAAATTAAACACGTGTGTAATTTGCTTTTATTATTAGAATTTGTTAATAAATATTTTACGAAATTATAATGAGTTTGTATCTCTCTACGTTTTCATGTCTCACATCGTCATTTTCTTTTTTAAATCTTACAATTAAATTAATTATAATACAAAAAGAGTTCTTTTAAGTTTGCCCGCAAAAAGAAGATAGATGTAGCTTTGGTACGTTATTTTAATTATTATTAATTTTTATACGAATGTGTTATTGCATTGCGGGGGATCTCTGTATCATCTTCGATGATGAAATTACTTCGAGATTATACTTGGCGGTCGTGAGGTCACGCGCGTCATTCTTATCGCAAGATTGTTGTAACTTATTTATGTTATGTACAACTGTGTTTTCTCTCTCCTCGAGGATGCAATTTAAATTCTTTCATTAAATTGAAAACAGCTTCGAAAATCAGCGATTTGCAGCGATTAATTACATCTAATTTTACTTAATTATTAATTAAATAATTTTAATACTAATCATTTTAAAATTACTATTTAATTATTATTATTATTTAATCGATTATTCTGATAATAATAAATTCGCCGCAAATCGCGAAGTTTGTCCGCTCGATGATATTTTGTTCGCATGACATTCGCATTTCTTCAGGATATATGTGACATGACCGCGAAGAGACGTAATGATCGAAATTGCGCGACACGATATCACGAATAAGATATCGTCCTCGAGGTAATCTAGTAATATCGTAGAGGTGACGACGGCGGCGAATCGTTGTGACGAGGGTGGATCATGTTCGCCGTCGTGAACAATGTCAGATTCACGTGCAGGCTTTGGTTCGCTTGTCGACTTCACGGATCGAGGTTGTCGTCGACGTCAACTAGTAAAATCCCACAATCGTCCGAAGCAAAAGCTGCTAATGTCGCAACATGCAAAACGACTCCAACAGTTAGTCCTACGAAATGTTTTATACAAGGAAATATACATTATATAAAAAATTCTCCCCTAATTTACATGAACAAATATAGAAATTTTTCGTACAATTTCTCAAATACAAACTATATATATCCACGTATTTTATATTCCTAAAGAATGAACTGTTCTATCAAATGTTGATGAGTTATGATCTCATTCTGATCGAAATGCCTAAAGTTATTTAGTATAATTTGGCATATTGCATCGAACTATTCCTACGCTATTACGGTATAAAAAGAGAATCTCTATTAACAAATTATAGGAAAGACATAGACGTAAGCAAAGAAGCGACCCCTTACTTAGAATTGTTCTTTCGCAGGCGACTAAGGACGTACCAAGGGTACAAACAGTTCGCGTGTACCGATGGAATCCGGAAACGCCAAACGTGAAGCCGTATATGCAACAATTCAGCGTGGATCTGAATAAATGCGGTACAATGGTGCTGGATGTGCTGGGACTGATCAAGGCACAGCACGATCCAACGTTGTCCTATAGAAGATCCTGTCGCGAGGGCATCTGCGGATGTTGCGCAATGAACATAGATGGTGTCAACACCTTGGCTTGCATAACGTAACAGTCGTCGTTCTAAAATTTTTGCCAATATACTCGATATAGTAGAGATTTTGAGGTTTTTCCGGATTTGTGGTTTTCCTGTCTTGAGAATTTTTAATATATATCTTCGGCGATTTCAATATTTGCGATCCGAAAGCTTGGGATTTTGGAGATGTGGATGTCTGCAACTTGAGAATAGGGATTACCTTATATAATTTTAAATATATTTATCATATATATAATTTATATATTAATATAATTAAATATATATAAAAAGTAATTAAAATAATTTTTTAAAATAAATAATACACATTGGAAACTACCTGAATCATCAGAAAAGTGAAAGAATCTCCAAAACCACTGGTAGTATATCCTTTGCCGCACACGTACGTGATTCGGGACTTGGTGCCGGACATGGAACAGTTTCTAGATCAGTTTCGGCAGATCGACCCGTATTTGAAGCGACCAGGCGAAGACAATTTCCTCGGTATGCGACAGATCTTGCAGAGTCCGAGGGATAGGCGCAAGCTCGACGGCTTGTACGAATGCATAATGTGCGCTTGTTGCACGTATTCGTGTCCCCCTTATTGGTGGCTCGGCGACAAGTATTTAGGTCCTGCGGTTCTATTGCAGGTAATATAAAAATAAAAATGCGACATCGAGATAATCTTTCTGTAACAGGATGCATGTATACATATATACTGCTATAGGCATACAGATGGGTGATAGATTCACGAGATATGGCGCATAAAGAGAGGCTAGCGAAGCTACGAGACTTTTATTCCGTCTATCGATGTAAGACGATCTTCAATTGCACCAAGACATGTCCAAAGGTAAATAAACATTATGGTTCTATCATCTTTTTTGTGCAATACAAAGTTCCTAATTCCTTCAAAAGGAAATTAAATGTTTAAATTAATTATACATCACACATTATGCATCACAATAAATTTTTTTTCGTATTTGACAGGGTCTAAATCCAGGAAAAGCAATTGCGCAGCTGAAACGTTTATTAGCAGGACTTATGAAGAAAGAAAAGCCAGACTTCGAGACAACGCTTCCAGATCCCTGCAAAAAGGAGTAAATAAAAAAACTAATAGACAATTCTAGACGGTTGTTCACTTCCTTTTTATTGTATAGTGCTGTCCATTGTTTTGAATAAAGAGTCACACATTTTTATAATGCGACAATTAAGTGTTTTGTTACTATATGAAAAATAATATCTAAATCCATAGTGATTATATTTGAGAATTAAGTCTATATTTTTCGTGAACAGTAAATGTGTATGTGAAATCTTTTATTTTCTTTTTATTATTCTAAATAAATTTTTAAATTTTCACTTAGAAAATTTTAATAGGCAAATTAGTATTTAATACTGATCAAAACAATCTTTACAATTTGTGTTATATCTATTTTATACACAAGATACTCTGTGTTTATAAGTTAAATTACAAATGTGATTGTATTCGTCAATTTGAGATACGTCAAAAAGTAAAAAAATATAAATATATTGTAAAAATATGTATCTTATTCAATTTAGCTTTCATTATGCTATATATTTATCTTATAATCTTCTATTATTTTAATATCAAAGTTAATCACAGTTATATTTAACAATAGTTAATACTGTCAGTCGGAAGTCAATAGATAGATCAAACATAACTGAACAGCCTTAAATATCTACTTTGTATTTTGAGATTATTTATATTTCGAGTTTATTACGGTAAATCAAAATTATATTCTAAGATCATTACGGTAATCTAATCAATTTGAACACAAAAGTTCCCTTATTTAATAAGTAGGTAACATCAATGCCTATCACACAATCACAATCAACGAGACGCCAGATCCCATTGAGAGGATATGAAATATTGCTTCTTGTACTCTGCGTTTCTTTACTCGCGAAAAACCAAAGTTTTAAATATTCTCGTAGTAAATTTTGAAATATATTTTCTCACACCATAAGCCGTGTACGTTTTATCCTGATTTCTGGAATTATTTCTGGATCAGCCTCATTTATCAAAACGTTCGAAGGTGGCACATTTTCGTCAGTCTCCACATGTGATATCAGCATGTTTACTTCTTCTCGCATACGCTGATCCCTTAGCCAGGGATGTAACAAGATTTCTGGCACCGTTATACGTTCAGTCGGATTCACTGTCATCATACGTTTAATCTAGAAAATGAAAAAAAATTATCTGCAATATTCAATAATATATTAACTGTTATAACTACTGTAATAATTACAAAATTACAATTATGTAAGTATAATTGTTATGTACTTGAAAAGTTACATTTCACTGATTTTGATATTTACATATATTATAGTAAATAGAATCTGTAAAGTGATTCAGAGTGCACATAATTCAGAATTCTATTCACTATAATGTATATAAAAATTAAAATAATTAGTATAAGAGGTAATTTTTTCACAAATTTTATTATTACATACCAGCTCTATAGCATCATGAGATACATTCCCAAAACGTGATGATGGAAATTGGTACTTTCCACGTTTAATCTGATACTCTAAAGTAATATTTGTGTTATGAATGTTAAAGGGAACTATGCCACTTAAACAGGCATATAGTATTACTCCTAAGCTCCAAACATCAACCTGAGAGAATCCCGATATAATATAAAAACAGTTTCATAATTTGTTAGTTATTTCTTATTAAAAAAATTGTAAATACTTGGCTGGTATAAGAGCCACGTCCCAGATTCGCCAGAATTTCAGGAGCAACGTACATAGGAGTCCCACAAAATGTTTTCATCATAGTCTGCGCATCTACTAACTTTGACAAACCAAAATCTGATACTTTGACTAAAGGAGTGTCAGAGTTATCCTTCAGTAGTATATTCTCTGGCTATATGAATTCATTCATATTTAATAATAAAGCTAATATATATCAATAGAATGTTAAAGAAACAATGTTCTAAACAGTACCTTCAAGTCTCTGTGTGTGATGCCCTGCTTGTGAAGATAATGAACAGCAAGTATAACTTGATAGAATATCAATTTTGCACATGATTCAGACAATTTATTTTTACTTCTTATCTTATCAAATAGCTCTCCACCTTCCATCAATTCGAGAATAATATACATTGTTGTTGGTGTATCATAAATATTTTCCATTTGGATTATACAAGGCTAAAACAGGAATCTTTCTATTTTTATCAATATTTAGATTAAATTACAAATATAAATGTCACAAATGTAACTTACATGCCTCAACCTCTTTAATATTTCAACTTCATTCTTGATATTCATAGGATTATTAAATCTATTTTGATTTATACTACTCATCTGTATAATTTTGATAGCAAATCGTTTAGAACCATCCTTTGTAAATAACAATCTTACTTCACCACAGGCACCAGTTCCTAATTTACGTCCAAGTGCATACATCTGTTTTAATTCCAATGGTAATTCACAGCTATTGTCTGACATGATATTCATGAATACATAAACTGTAAAAATTATAAAATATCGTAATTTGTTATATCTGTACATATTAATTTTTTACGATTAGATCTGTTACAAAATGCAGTTACTTGTCAAGTGTTTTGCAGCTATAGCTATTTCAGAATTATTTTCAATAATAACACGATTTCCATAGCCAACTTTGACCTTGTCGACAAATGTTCCATTGTGGCTCATATCTTCAAGATATACTATAAATTCGTTGCTGTTATTAATGTATTCTCTGACTATGCGAAAGTGCACTTTGCTGATTATGTTTAGATACTTCTGTTGCATTTCATTTATGGTGAAAACAACATCGCAGGTTGTGGCACGTCCTACAGTATAGGATTCTTTTATCATTTCTGTAAAATAATACAATATTTTTTAATCCCGATATATGTTTCATCGTTAGATGCATATTTGTCTGCTTGCAAAGATATAAAATTCGTACCTAGACTCATCAAAGGTGTTCTTATAGGACAAAGTCTTCCCCAGACGACTAATGTTGGCTTCTGGCTCAACCCATCTTGCGATGGTATTATAACATCTGCATTTTGAGTATCGGGTAAACTAAGAGGAATGTTCGCTTCTTGCGAAGTCATTTCTGTTTTATCCTTTTCTCCACCTATTTATTGTTATCGTGGTGAAGGAAAGTGAAAGATTTATGATATATCCAAGAGTCTCCAGAACACGAAGATGATAGCTCTGCTAATCACATCCTTGCGAATAAACATTTAAACGAAAAGTATAATGTACAAAATTGCGGAAAATATTTTTCTTCGAAAGAAATTTACTTAGGAGCGAATATGTATTTGTTATTTCAAACAGTTTTAAAAAATTATGATAAACTATCAGCACATGTACCGCTAAATACGCATGACACAAAGGACGACGCAGACACGTGCGTAGTGCGTAGATTAAACAAAAATTTGCGCATGCGTAATAGCACAAACAATATCTCAAAACTGCATATATATATTTCGTTGCAATAAATAATAAAAATAAGGCCATTAGAATTCTTGTGAAAAAAATCTTAATTTACATACTTAATACATAGCATTAAATATATATACATTATATATTAATTAATGTATGTAACAGCAGAAGATATTTTTTTAAATTTAAAACATATTTCACAAAAAGAATTAATAAAATAGATATATCCATCGATAAGAGCATTTAGAAAATCGATAAAATGTTATACGATATATGATACTGGATATATGATCGTACAAAACACAAAAGGCTTTGTGTGAGCGGTTCCAATTTCTAACCATGATTTTGTCTACATGTTACGAACTTTGACATAAATCTGTATACGTCAATACACATTAATATTAACTTATACTTACCCACAATTTAATCGCTGAATTGTCGAGTTGTCAAATTATTATTGCCGCATGATCTGTCGTTCGAATCTACGCGTTGATCTGCGTCTTACATACGTAAGGTTTATATTGTACTTTGGAGCAAAGTTTTGTGCACTTTTTGCTTTCTCTTTCTTTCTCTCCAATTTCTAAATATATGTATCTATCTCATTTTATTCTGCTCCAGTTTCAATAGTGAAAATTACAAAGAAACCTATTTACATTGTTATACTTGCGCATGCGTAAAAAAAGAGCGGCAAATTTTTCTGCGTCTTATCTTATGTCGATAAATTGACAATCGACTTTATCAATCGTGTATATCGCGTGATCTTTATTATCGACAATTATTGAAATAAACATTTTATAAAATATATATTTATAACATTATCCTAACAATATAATTTAAGTTAATGAAGAGAGGAGGAAAACCGTAGCGCGATATATCTTAAATAATCTCTCTTTTTCATTAAAATTGAAATTATTATAACTTAATTGCACAAAAAATATTTACAAATTAAATTTCAAATTAAAGAAATCAGTATATATTGATACATATAATCGCAACTTGTTTCTACGTTGTAATATGTTATAATCGTAGATGAAAAATATTCTTCTACAAGGAGCTCATTAGCTTTTCAGGATCTCAATAAATGTCTGCCAATGGTATATATCACAAATGACGAAGGGTACTTTATTGTAAATCTACTTGTTGGTATCATCATCATCATCTCTCAATAAGTAGGTAGAAAGCAAGTCACAGAAGCTATCGTGATGAATCTTATGAAAGGCGTGACTATACATAACATTCTTTTAAATTACATCATCTACGTATAAATACGCACAATAGATGTTTGGTATGCGTTTTTAACTTACAATACTACGTTGCTCTAATTCTTGCCCTTATTGTACTATATAAAATACTGTCATGCGTGTAGATTAATACATATTGCAGAGTTGGGAAAATCCTTAAGTCTATTACTCGATGAAAACTCTAGATAGAAACTCTAGTAAAAAATTAACAGAAATATTATGCATTTAATTAATATAAGCAGATTAATACGACAAAATCTATAGGAAAAAATGCTGGTTCCAAGAACGAATCATAGGTAATGATGATATATAGTATACAACGATCTTGACACATGACTTGTAGTGACAATTCTGTTTATTATTCATCAAAATAATTTAGTACCACATTAATTGAGGAGGTATCTCTTCTCAGGGGTTTGTGTTTTTCTTATATTCGGCTTTGAAGGCTGAACATGGGAGAAACAGTAGGAAAAGATAGCAGACAAGAATTAAATATTTGAAAAATCAACCTTAATCAAGCGATTATCGATTAATGATTTGCACGTTTTATACACGTGTGTGATTATTTTTTTTTCATCAAATGCCTGAAATATTAGACGTTTTGTCGCAATGCGTGTCTGTATATGTGTGTGTGTCGATCAACTGTTAACATTGTATCTCTCTGAACAAAAGTTTGTATCTCTCTCTGAAGTTTATTCTCTTATTTTTCTTCTACTATCTAAATTATGTCTGCGCGCTACCACTAATAGTAATTAAAACTAAAAGATACAACTAGTACCAATACACACCTCTTTCTTGGGATCCACGCAATGAACTATATGCTGCCAAACTTTTATATGCATATGCGTTATATGTGTCTTTTCCCATTTCTTCTCTTTTACTCGAACAATTTTAAATCTCAATTGTTGCACTTTCTAGATTCGGCTGTGCGTCTATCATTAATAGTGAATTTGGACGTCAAGTACACGAGTCTATTTCTCATTTGTCGCTATTCTTCATCTCGATCATTCTTCAAGCCTCATTAGATAAGAATCTCCGAGTCTCTACAAGTGTCTATTTTATTCGTGAAAATAAATAAATATTAAACACTGCGTATATATACGTTTGCAAAGCCTTCGATCAATTTGACATTTTTTTTTGGACTTTATGAGATTCAATTATATATAAATGTAAGTAACATAATGGAATTCAACGTTGTAGGGACACGCATTTTCGGCGAAGAAAAATCTGATCTATACATATAGACATGTAACAATATATTTATTTATCCGATTGAGAGACAGAGTTTTGGCATACTAGTTTTCCTTTTTTTCACCTATACCATTGTCATCATATTTGCGTATATCGTTTACGATGTTGCACGTTACGTGTCCCGTAAAATAAATTTGTATCAAATCAGCGGCAGACGTGTGATATATTACAACTCAGTATCTATCCCGAATACACGCGCGAGTCGACGAATTAGACGAGATATTTGTGACGCTCGGTACTTTGCATGGTACAAAGCAATGCGCGTCTATATATGCGTGTATAATATGTTTATATATTTGTGTATATATATTTATATATATATATATTTATATATATGAGTAAAGAAGGAGCGGAGCATCTCTTTCGTTCTTCATTCTTTCTAAGAGAACTCTCGAGGAGAGCGCGCGAATATTAAACGAATGACAACGAATTTAATTATCGTGTGTACGTAATAATTTGCGCGAAGGTGGACGCCACAGCCGAAATTTTCGCCACCATCGGTAGAAGATTGAAGAGATTCGACGCGATTTCTTTTACGCAAGATCACAATCGAGGAGGACGATCTTCTTTCTCTCTCTCTCTCTCTTTTCATGTACGTGTGATTGGTTGGTAATACTTTAACAGATATATTGCATAAGTAGGATTGCGAAGAGAGGAGTAAGAGAAAATTAAAGAATGAGTTATACTCGTTATCGACATTAAATTTCACACTGCGTAAGGACACATATTATGTACAAAATAATGCCTACAATTGCACAACTGTCTAAAGGAATATAACTCTTGTAATTGTATATGGCATTAATACCCCCCCTCCCACCCATCCTTTCTCCCCCTCTCTTTCCTATCCTATTCCGCGTTCATAGATAATCCGTAATGCGAACTCGTGGGAGCGTCCTCTCGATCGTCTGACCCTTACGACCGTCTCTCGAATTCACTCTCCTCGAATAGTGCAGTTCATTTGCCGTAAAACGATGTATTGTAATATAATTACTAATTATACTTTATTATAAATTAATTAAAGAGTTCTTAATCATACGTGTTTATGTGTGTGATTTATGTATAATAATAATAATAATATTAATATTAATAGCATATGTACGATAGCTTTTGTAGCAGCTTACTCTTTCGGCCGATTCCATTAAAATGGACGCGCGTTCGTCTTTTCTCTCATTTTCATATTCCCGTTCTCTTCCGTTCGCGATGTCTGACGGAAAATCTAAAACTCGCGGTGACTAGCGGCACTCCCAGATCTTCACCGTTTGATCGACGCTCCCGGTGACCACGTAAGGATGATTCTTGTGAAAATCTGCAAGTAAAAGAGTAGAATAAATAAACGTCCTTCGTCTATCTATAATAAGAGTAATAAGAAATTTCTCATGAATAAAATGTGTTTTGCAGATTAAGAACGGATTAACTAAGCAAGAAGAAGAGGGTACAAACCGACAGAAGTGCAGAAGTGAACGTGCGCCTCGAGAGTCTTCATCACTCGTTTGTTGCGCGTATCCCAGACTCGCAGCGTTTTATCGTCGGACGCGCTGACAATAAATTTGCCGCCAGGATGGAAGACGATGCATCGCACCCAGTTGTCGTGTCCAATGAGGGTGAAGAGGCACACCCCGGCGGCGACGTCCCACACGCGAATCGTCTTATCCCGAGAGCCAGACGCGAGGAAGGGCCCCTCGTGCGCGCCCTTGTTGTCTGCTCCGGCCGCCGCGTTGATGGATGCTCTCGCGCTCTCCGGCGCCCATGCGATGCATTCGACTACGTGGTCGTGTTCTCTGAATTCGACCTGAGTGATTTTGTCATAAATGTAAATTTGTTATAAATGTAAATATAGGAACAGGGAAAGTATGTACGTGTGTTCTATCAAAATTACCTTTGTCTCCTTCGTCGCCACGTGCCACACTCGTACAGTCTGATCGTTTGAGCAGCTGGCGATGAGCTCGCCGCATGGGCTAACTCGCGCCATTCTCACCCACTCTCTATGTCCGGTGAGTGTCTTCACGCAGTAGCCTGTCGCTACTTCCCAGATCTTGATGGTCTTATCCCTAGAGGCGCTCACTACGAAGTCACCCTGTGGCACAAACGCGACCGAGTTGACGTTGTGATCGTGGCCGTGCATGGTCTTGACGCAGGCAAACGACTGGTGGAAGTCCCACAGCTTGATGGACATGTCCGCGCTACAAGAGGCGAGCAGTTTGCCCGAGGCGTCGAACGCGATGTCCTGCACGCTATCGGTGTGGCCTTTCAGCGTTCTCTCGAAGTCGCCGCTCTCAAAGTCCCATACCTTTCAGGGAAAATGATAGATTTGATAAACGTGAAAGAAAAAAATACACATTTCCCGAGAAACGCAATAAACATAAATTCCTTAGTGCTCTCACCTTAATGGTGGCATCTTCGCTGGCCGATACTACGAGACTAAAAACAGGATGGAAAATAACTCTATTGATGGGGGCTCTGTGTCCGGTCAGACTGAACTTTTCTGGCGGCCTCGGTATCCATTCGGATGGTGATCTCTTACCGCGCGTCGGCGCACCTTCTATGAACTCCTTTTCAGCTTCGGAAAGTTTGGATTCCAATTCCATTACCTACAATTTTATTATTATTGTAATGAATATTATTATACGTTCAAAAAGTTGCTCAGCTAACATAATAAATATCAATAAATTCTTCTGCGACAACAGCATGGAGTCAAAATATTTCTAATTGTTCTTAAATGAAAAAAGTTTGATATATACCTTCTTCTGCAATCGTATGACCGAGGTCCACTTCTTCTCCAAAAGACCGCCGTATTTCCTCTCCACTTCTCCTGGCATATCGGCTTCCTTTTTAAATGCCTCCAGTGCATCTTGGTAGCCATTGGTGCTAAGGTAGTCCGCAATCGCCTTATTTCTGGAAGCATCAATTTGCATTTATCAAACCAGGTGTAAAAATTTGCCAGTAACTGGTTTTTCTTTCTTTATTAATCGAATAAATAAATAAAATTCGCAGAAAAAAAAAACAAATAGCAAATTTTATCAAACTCTATCATTTTTATTCATAATATATTCCTTCTCTTCAGATACCGCTACGAGTGGAATTAAGAGAGAGAGAGAAAGAAAGAGAGACGTAGCGCGATAGTGCTTTAATCTCCAATTGTTTCGCGTTGGCGTCTGCCTGTTTATGACGTAGAGATAAAGATAAAACGCCGGATAAAACCTGCGATCCGGTACAATGGAAGAACGTACGGAGGGAAGAGTAAGGCCCCGTAAGGCAGGTGTCGGATACGTGGGAAAGAGATTGAAAGTCGGGCAAACTTGTATGCCAGGGTGAAAGGCCTCGAGTCGGCCGTTCGTCTCTATTCCACCTGACTTTTCTCCACGTGATATGGCAAATTATCGTTCGCGGGGCCTCGCAATCTTTGTTTTCCGTGTATGATGTAGAGGCGACTTGTTCTAAACGTACGTAATCGAAAGAAAAAGGAGGGAAAAAACGAACCTGCCTTAACGGGAAACGTTGCAACCGTCGAACCACGTGTTGATGGATTAAACTGGTTTGACATTTCGTTCTATGAATGAGAGAAAACGTCATTTTCCAACTCTACATGATTCTAAAGTTTCTCGAGAGCAAAGTAAATTTAAATATTAACTAACTAAATATTATATAACAAAACGTACGAATCAAAATCATTGATTTTTTATATTAAATTAAATATAATAAATAAAGGCATAAGTGTATATGATTTTTGATGGACAATAGAAACATTTTTATAATAATGTATAATTTCAATGTATCATTATTATAAAAATACTTTAGTTCAACTAAAAATAAACTAATACGATTATCTGTTAGCCGATACTAGGGCAAATTAGGAGTTGGCTTTTCTTTGCACGATCGATGATGAGCAAACATAGACTCAAGTATAACAAGAATTAATAGCTTAGTCGAAGATTAGAAGCTTCAAAAGGTGAGGAAACAGTTTCAAGCACTATAAAAAACATCAATGTGTATCAATAATTTATTTTATAATCTTCGAAGGAAAGAAAATAAAATTCGTAATTTATGAAAAGTTATAACCGGATAAGAAAGTATAAAAGTTTCTCCGTGAAATAACTTAAAAGTGTTTGCGCAATGCTTTTAAATAAAAAAACTTTTTAGCGCCGTTCATAAGTTCTTACTTCCTCTTCTACATAGGAAAACATGTTTGTTAAATTTAATTTTTTGATGTATTTATGCTTATAAATTTTTGATATAAAAAATGCACAGAGAATTTTCTCTTAGAATTTATCCTGGAAATCATAGTAATCATAGGACAATATGGTATTGAAAGAATTTTATAAGAGTTTCTCTGATTAATATTTATCACAATAAAAAATATTAATATGCATATGCATAATAAATTTTACTATCAAACATATTTTATATCTTATTGTGGTAGATACTAATCAGAGAAACTCTTATAAAATTCTTCCAATATTTTTGCATGATTATCATGTGCAATTTTCAGGGTAAATTCTAAGAGAAAATTATCTCCGTGTGTTTAATAAAAAATAATGTTTCTACAAAATATTCTTTAAAATTCAAATGTGACAGTAGAACAATTCAAAAATTTTTTTGTATGGGAGGCACTTTTATTCGGCTGTAGTCTTTACACACTCAATGTATAACTTCACCGAACTTAGAACGCCATAACGCAAAATCATACACACAGTAATGTTACAACCCGCGTATAGTTAATTATACGTAATTCGCGGAAAATTATGTGAAGGGAGGCGGATAATGATAGAGGTGAAAATTCATAAGAAGCTTAGAGCGCGATGTGAGAAACTTTATATCACACACGCACAATACAGATATTATGCGTTGCAGGTATATGGAAGTATTGTATACAAAAGGAATTCAAAAGAGACAAACAGGTAGTTTTTATTATGAGGGCGGAAGATGACCTGTGTTCCTTAAGAGAGAAAGAGAGAATTCCTCAAGTTCGCGCGAGAATAAAATGGAAAACAAGGAAGATCTCGATGCAACGAGTCGAGTTTCCGAGGAAAAAAATAAAGATAAAACTTGGATATTTGTTTTAATGATATCGTATTCGTGCGAAAGTCGCGGCATTCGAAATTCATCGTTGATGATCGATAATACGAGAAAGGGAGAACGAGGTTTAATTTATTCCGAGCCGCGGATGATGGAATTTGCTTCGTTGAAACGTTGAGACTATCACGGTTTCTAGTAGGCTTAGGATTATATTTACTCACGATTGATTTGCAAATGACGACGGAACTGGGAATCTTTTCCTTCGCTCGTAATCGAGGGCATGTTATCGTATGGACGAGAAGACGTCCAGTCTAGCAACGTTTTTATGGTCAGCGAAACTTCAGACGTTTACAACAAATATCTAAGATGTCCTTAGAACGTGATGACAAATAAAATTTTTTCAGAATTTAACGCAGGATAATATTCTTTGAATGCAATAAATATTTGCAACAATTAACTAAATTTACTTCTGATCTTGTCTTTTCGTTATATAGATTAAAGATTCTGATGTTTTTTCCTATGTAAAGATTAGAAGCAAACAATACAACAGAAGCTTTTGTTAATTACTTCTTTCTTTGCTTCCTCTTTTGTGCACGATAAATACCTGAGGTCAACCTTAATTATATTTTAAAATAATATGTCCTTGCTCCGTAATCTAAAGATGATTCATATGGAAATGAACGGGAAGAAAGAGACGAAAAAGATAATTCCTTCCTTCCGATTTTTTTTGCACAGCTAAACGCTCATATCAGTGTAAAACTGTAATTCAGTATATTTAAATTTCACAAATATGTCAAAATGATTTTTTTAAACCTACAAATCTTTTATATTATATGTATCAGACCTAATCTCAATATAATATGCAAATGTAGCAATGAATATTTTTTCTTAGTCTTTTGAGATTTTATAACAATGTTCCAGTACTTTTTCAAGAATACAAAGATAATACTATATATAATATTGTATATATCGCAAGTATCTTTATACAACTAATTAAAAAATACTAATAAAAGAACTTTAGAGAAGATTACAAAGAGCTTGTCTGAAGAGAATCTCGCGAAGACATTTAAAGGTCGAAAGATGACTTCATATTGCGACATATTGCTCGTGACACGAAAAAGAACCTCTCTGTTAAAAGTGCCTAATTGTCCCTCTGGTTCACGCTACGGGTCATTTTACGGGAAGCCCGACAGCAAAAAACGTCTCATTAGCCTCTGGAGAACCGACGTTCATAATCCGTACAAAGTAGGAAACAACATGGATGCGACGCGACACCTGCGCTGATCGATGAGAGGTCTCTCCCTCTTGGCCAGCTGGGGTAGCGAGTTCCTCTCTCGTTCTCTTTCTCGCTTCCAAGCTCCACCGTCGCCGATTCGTCCTATCGATCGCGCCGTACGCGCCTGCTCTCTCGTACGGACACCCTCACCCCCGACAGCCCTCATTCACCCCTGACAACCCTCATTCACCCCCCGACTACCCGTTCCAGAACGGGATCGACGAGAGATTTTGCGTCATAGGAATTCACCGGCGTAGATCGGAGGATGAGATCGATGCTTGTACGTGAGCTGTCGAGGAAGGCGAAAACGGAATTAATCATAGACAGTCGTTTAAATAATCCACGAGCACGATTCGAAAGCTGTGTTTAATTCGAACGAGATTGTTGGAGACTTTAATACTTTCGAGTCACGAAATGAAAAAGCTTCATCGAGGAGTTATATAGTAATTTCCAGAATATAATTAAATATAATTTTGAATATCAAACAATATTGATTAGCATCGCAGAACAGATGTTCCGAGGAGAGATTCGATATTCCACGGGGCATTGAGGACGAGAAGAGAAATGACTGCGTAGTCGCGCAAAAACGCGTGATGCATTGGAGAGATAAGGACGAATTAGGGACATGGCGAGAGATAATGACAGCGATTGGCGTTCGATTCTCTCGCACGAGAGCGCTCGGACAGGAAACGCAGTCATATTACGCGCGAAGAGCCGAGGAACTCTCGCGGATCGTTACTCGTTCGCTTACTTATTTCGGTGACTCATGTATAGACAACACGGGTTTCTCTCTCCCGCGTGAAATCGAAGACCAGAGGCATGGGAAAATTCAAGTGCGTCTCCCACACGGCTTATGCGCCCACGATTATGCAAAATAGAACGAACTAATTGCATAGTTGGCTCATTAAAGTCCAATGCCAGCTAAGGATGTCAAGGTAGTTCGGAAAAAATTTCGCGTAGCGAAGTGACATTTCTAGCATATCTGTCAACGAAAATATGTACAAAATATTTTTTAAATGCATAATGCGATAAATAAATAACTCTAACAATAAGGTATTGAAACCTTTTCCTTATTCCAGGAACACATTCGAAGGTCGGTTTGCAAAAATTGTGGAAACGATGCCACTTCCTATTTGCGCAAAATACATAGAAAGGAGAAACAGATAGACGCTGTGGGAGAACTTTTAGCGTAGGTGGATGGATGGATACGTGGATGGTGTGCGAGATGCACCGAGAGGGAAGCCTTGCGTATTTCCACGATTGATCCGTTCCCGGATCGCAGCACCCTCGTGTAAAGGAAGAAAGGGATGACGTAGAATGCGCTTTTCCAGAGGAAAATAGAGGAAAACCTGGTGTCCATCGAATGAGAATAATAGTCTGGATGCAAAAGCGTCCTCGACGAGGACGTTTAAATCGTTATCCTAGGCTATACGACTTACAGCTCCTCCCTCTGACGTTGAGACAGCACCATTTTCATGATCCTCGTGTGTGACCCGGCTGGATACCTCGATGGTGATTCCGCGAAGCCGCGAATAGGTCTTCCAATCGCCTCTCAACGACCTCAGTGCCGCGTCATCGGCATCGCCTGTAACAAAAATTACACGTCACTCTTAGGATATATGTATACAGACCTATAGCTTTAATTCAGGTCGCCCTTACACAGGTTGTGTGTATAACGTTAAAATCAAACGAGGTATTAACACTTGAATCACAATCAATTGCATAATCCGTTTTAGAAAATAAAAATCGTATAGTTCCATGTAATATTTCCTTTTTAATTATATGAAATTACTCTATAAATAAATAAATAAAATAAAAAATAAGAAAAATGTGGCAAACAGATGCTTCTTTTCCATCTGGATATTCCATGCCATATTAAATTCCTGCTGTTCTTGTTTTCTATGACCTGGCAATTAACACATTGTGTTGGTTCTACATATTTTTCTATATCGCGGGAAAGGAAATTTTCAAGACAGAGAGAATGTCGTGAGAATCGAACTATTTCCGCGGAATGACGCACAATACGCGCCTGAAATCAATGTGTCGCGTGGTTTATTTTACTTTCCATCGTCGTGCACGGGAGAAATCGGCGCGGATGGAATCAGTGTCGCTCGCCTCGGAGCCGAGCTTCGCGTCGCTCGCACAAAAGCGGTCGCTAACAAAGTAAGCTTAGGCGGCACGATTTTACCAGATCGATAGCAATTTTTCGTAATGTTGCACATACCAAGGGTGCACGAAAGGGAAAGGGAAAAGCTTGAAAAGTGAAGCACGCAATCACGATACTGACGGGGCGAAAATGGACGGGTTACGAGAGCATAATATATCGCTCTATCCGGGACTAGAAATATTCCTAATTTAATGGAACAAAGATACATTTTATCTGATGTGTTCGAAGCATACCGATTTTCGAGCATTATATGCTTAAAAAATAGGAACAATTAAATCTGATATTTTTTAGCTGACATGAGATAGAATCGATAAAATGAGTCATGTAGCTTGACAGCTTGAACAGCTTGCCTGGAATATTTGAAAGAAAAAAATTCTATAGTTCTCTTCTAATTTTCTGTCAAAAAATGTATTACACATTTTCAATTCTGTGTTTTGTATATTATTTAAGGTGATAAAATCCGTCCGGATTATTAACATTGCAAATAAACAAGATAATTTAATAATATGATTAAATCTACATCTATATATTTATCAGATAATTATGTTATTATATAATAATTTTTTCTCACTTTGATGACAAATTTTAATTTTTCCCGATACTATAATTATATTGAAAAATATTAAATATAAATTACCATTAAATCAATGAAATATACACAGAAAGAATTTTCTCTTAGAATTTACCCTGAAAAAATCATGGTATAATCGTGGGATAATTTGAAGAATTTTATAAGAGTTTCTCTGTTTAATATTTACCACAATAAAATATATTAATATGTACCTACATAGTAAAATTAATCGAACATATTTTATATCTTATTCTGGTAGATATTAATATTTTTTATTGTGGTAAATATATACTTTATCATAAAAAAACTTTTATAAAATTCTTACAATATTATATTGTCCCACAATTACCATAATTTTTGGGGTAAATTCTAAAAAATTCTTTGTGCATGTAAATAATTTTATAACTAACGTAACATATACTTGTCAAGTAATAATATTGTAACAGCAATTTTCTGCGCATATTGATGACATAATTTAAATTTTTTCTCAACACACAATTATGTTAAAAAATACAATATAAAATAATTGGTTCCAGATGACGCATGACAAGGGAGTCCAGATTGTAATAAACTTCACATTATTAATGCTCTCGTAGAATGTGCAAAAAGTAACAAATATGCAATTTGCATATAATCCGAAGTCTAGTAATAAATGTGAATCGCGCTCCGAATGAGAAAACAATCCGGAGGAAGGACCTTGAAGGGTTGTGAAGGCGCGCGTCGGCGCAGCTCGTCGCGTCGCGTCGCTTCCACGGCGATGGTTATCCGTCCTCGTATGCGATGCGCCGTGATCGATAAACCCGCCAGCACAGTACGCCCACCCCCTCCGACGTTCGCGTATATTTTCGCCTCGCGGTGCATTTAAATATTCATAACAGGCCTCTTTCTACCTCACGGCAACATCGCCGTAACGTTAAGGAGCGTGTTATGCGATCGAGATTGAGAAACGAGAAGAGCCCCACGTCGTTACAGATACGGAGAACGGGTCGAACTGTCTGAAACGATATATGCGTGCAATAACAATAATAAATAATATCTATGCGTTTTAATTACATTCTGCATATTATGCGGAGTGCTCGAAATTTGAATAAAGTGTTGGAATTTACTTATATATTCGATATGTAACTTTAATAAATTAATCATATATGATTATTAGATTAAATATAAATATATATTTGCATATCTAGCTTCTTGAGACAATTTTATTTTAGAAAATAAATATAATAAGAATTTAGAAAAAATAGACAAAAAAATTTTTTTAAATTGATAATATAATGCATGTATGTATAATCTAATGTCTAATGTATCTTTTGCTGTATATATAAATATGAATAGTGGAATCAATCATTCAAGATTAGGATACTTTGTTCGAAAAACTGGACTGCACGCGTCGCTGCGCATAAATGCGGTTTGCGACGTCGATGAAAAGTTGAAAGTAACCGCATATAAGTGGGAAATACACATAATTTACGGTTGTTGCGAATACCTCATGATAATATCCAGGAATTCCTTTCGGGGCTTTGCCCGTTCAACCCTGAACGGTCAAGGGTCCTTCTCGGCGAAAAATACCAAATCCTCGTGAAAACTGTTTTATATATATTTTTCTTTTTCAGAAAAGCTTTTTTTTCGTAGACCAGAGATATAAAATTTCATAAATAATTTGTAGGAAATTATCAAAAACCCTGATTTTTTTCCAATGAATTATTTATTTATGTAAAGATTTTTTTCCAATATATATACACAATTTTTTTAAATTACTCTCGCACGTGGAATTTGCGTAATAATTTATCTCGGGAAGGAATTTGTCATAATTCATTTTATAAATAAATCTGTAACGATTCATCTCTAATACTTTTATGCAAATAACTCATTTGCATACTTGCATATGGTAAATAAAAGATATACCCAGTAAAATAACAGTATAAGCTGCAACAAAAGTGACGCAATCATAAATCCTTATCATCGAGTCCATCAGGCTTTCCATATATTATCGAAGATCGATCTATTAATCACTGAGTTTCGATATCCATCGATCCAGGTGACTGACTGTTAATTTTCTTGATCTTTAATGTGTCCTACGTTGCTTTTTTTCGACTAATCTACTTTGTAGACATGATGACACATAAAAATACTATCCTAAGTAAAAGAGATCAATCGATCGATTAAGAGTGCTAACGACGCAGGGAAAGCAGTCTATCTTGAAATTGTACGCTCTAATCGATCGTTAAACTTTCACGATAGAGAGTCCTGTCCAACGGAAACCGGTTACAGGAACTGTCATCGCGTGACACCATATGATTAAAAAAAAACTATGTATATGTTTAGAAATATGAAGATATTTCTTAATTGCGAGACAAAAGTTGAATTCGATGAGGGAAGTTTAAAAATTCCACGCGATCAAACTCGAATTTTGTTGCATCGCGTTGTTACAATCGAAACTAATTAACGCGCGTGAAATTTGATTCAGCGTCAAATCGAAGTCTGAATCTCTTATCAGTGAATCATCGCGGTTTTATTGTAGTCGCGCGCTTCTTTCATTCAGAATGTACCGAATCGATCGCGCAATTAAGTAAGATTGACAGCGCATTAATAATGTAAAATGAAAAGAGCTAAGATTTTTATACCAAATTATTTTTGTCTAATATTGTTTGCCGCGAGGTATTTAATGACTGACAAGTAAAAAGAAAACGATAATACACGGGGCGAAAACCGAAAATTCATTGACCGGCGACGGAGGCATCGACCATCTATTGCGTTGAATTTTAATGGTAGGCTTCCTTAAAGGTCGCGAAGATACTCGGAGAAATTGACGAGATACGAGCGAGAAATCAGCAGACTTATATCGTCATATAGAGTCGACGCGAATATGTTATTACACGAAGAGATGTCAGAAAAAAGATAGACCGCAAAATCTTTCCGAGGCTCCATTAACGTGGAGGAAGCATCGTGATTGATATCGCGGAGGTCTCGGGCCGACTCTTCGATCGACAGGTAGAGACGGAGAAAGAGAAAGAAAGAGAGAGCGCGGAGTCGCGCGATGACAGCTGATCGCGCATTATCGGAGCCGTCTGTCAAAGGTGCTCGCGCATCGTCGTGCGTTCGAAAACGCGCGGATAAGATAAGGACGCGCCGCGTCTGGGAGATCTCTCTCTCTCGAAGGGCTGCGAGAAGGAACGCGGCGAAAAAATCAATTCGCATTCGGTGACGTGCGACGCGCCGAGGACCATCCTCGGGACGAGGACAACTCCGTACGTCATCGTGATCGTCGTCGTTGTCGTCGCGACGTCCCGGAGCTGTCATCGACGTCGACGTCGCGCGCGAATGACGACGACAACGACGACGACGACGATGACGACGCGGCGCAGATCAGGTCGATCGAAATCGCGCTCGTAATCGCGTTTGTTGTAGATCGCGCGCGGCCATTTTGCCAGAAACCCGTCACCGAGTCGGGCCGCTTTTCGGCCACCGCGAGCGACGCTTCGAAGGGAAGGATCCGCGGATTTTCTCTGCTCGCCCCCACGTCCAGCCTTCGTTCGGAATACTCACTTCTGTTTCACGGAGCAGCAGCAATGGATGGGGATGGACGGCGAGGCCTGAGGCGACGACGAGACGAAATTTATACGCGTGAAAACCGGGCAGCCGCGACCATCGATGAACACCTCGGGATCACTTCTGCGATCGGACTGGCCCCCGCGAGGTGGCGTCTGCGCACTTCCGGCGCATGCGCAAGCGCCGCTGCTCGTCGCGTCGCGCCGCGACCTCGCGCAGCCACTCGCGCGCCATCTGGCGGAAGAGCTAGGTACTAACTCGTTTCCAGATGGCGCGTCTAGCCGTCTGTCTCTGCCGTACCATGCGGATTTTCAGTGTTTTTTTACCGATCGATATTTTGCGAAAATATTTATTATGTACGGATCTTTAAATTCTCGTTCAGTTTGCCATCTGATGTAGAATAAGTTTAATGATCCTTTTATTTTTCTCGAAAAGCATATCTAAGAAGGTTAAGATTTATAAATAAAAAATAAATAAATAATATATATACTCATTACGTCGTTGACTTGATATTTATCAAGTCTGAGCTTGATTTACTTATGTAAATTTCATGGCTTTTTCACAATCAAACTCGAGAGGTAATCTTGATACGAATTTATATGCGGCATCTTTTTTTTATATTTACATCAGACTGTATTTTTTTGATTATTATTACAGAAATACAAAATCGAAAGATTTTAGAAGAATTACAATTGAAAAAGCAGATTCTACTGAAGCAAGGAGTTGCACCGACTTTAAATTCGTCATTAGGTGTTTCGTCGACCGGTCCTGCGTCAAATGTAGTGAGTACTTTATCTATTTAATCAAATCTTCATTGAGTTTGTTTTAGCTGCACTGGTACAATAAGTTAAAGTGAGAAAAATATACATTTATTTTATTCTAACTTATTGCACCAATGCAGCAGTGCAGCTAAAACAAATTGTCTTTAACTTCAGTTTGATGATACATATTTTTATTAATAGCCTCCGATACAGTCTAATGATGGTGTGGCGATGAGTGCATCTCAAAGAGCAGCTTTGCACAACGCACATGCAGCCTCATTCGGTTACTTTGTGACACAGGATTCTTCTTTTGGAAATCTGATATTACCAGTTCTTCCTAGATTTGATAGTAAATGAATTATTATTCACAAAGATACTCGAGTGTACATAAACAACTACAAATTACTAAAGACTATGTAAATAATATTATTGAGAGAGAATTATTGAATGACAATTGTTTTTACAAGCAGTAAACACAGACAGTCCTTGACGAGATAATGGCTAGTCTCCGACTTCGTCAATTAGAAGAGTATCTTCAACAAATGGATGTGTTTGAAAAGCCAAAAATCTTGCTCGAGCAGTATGCCACTAGTGCGCACATTGCCTCACACATGTTGTACACTGCGCAATCGCAATTTAACGATATAGAAGGTAAGAGTATAGCAGATTTAGGCTCTGGATGCGGAATATTGTCACTGGGTGCCAAAATGCTTGGTGCTGAATACGTAGTTGGATTCGAGATAGATTCGGATGCAGTCAATATTCAATACAGAAATTGTACCGACATAGAACTCTTTGTCGAAGTCGTTCAGTGTGATGTACTGCAATATTTGCCAGGTATGGATGTAAGTTTTTTTACTAGTATTTATTAAAAGTACAAACATATACATATGTCAATATTTGTTTTGTTACAGGAAAATTTGAGAAATACTTTGATACTGTTATAATGAATCCACCTTTTGGCACTAAGAACAATGTGGGTATTGATATGAAATTTCTCGAAGTGGCATTGAAACTTTCATCCAACGCGGTTTACTCGTTGCACAAGAGCAGCACGCGAGATTACGTTCTCTCAAAAGTGAAACAGCTCGGCGCGGAAGGAAGAGTGATAGCCGAACTTAGATATGATCTACCAAAAGCTTACAAGTTCCATAAGAAAGATTCCGTCGACATACAGGTGGATTTTATACGATTTGAAGTGACGAAGCGCTGATGGTTTTCAATTTATTCAAACTTGATGCCCTGAGCCAGAGGCAGTTCGTTCCCGTGGTTGATCGTGATTGTCGCGCGTCGCATGTAATGCTTCCATGCGTCACTTCCGCTTTCGCGACCACCGCCCGTAGCCTTCTCGCCGCCAAATGCACCACCTATCTCGGCGCCGCTAGTGCCTATGTTGACATTGACTATGCCACAATCTGATCCGTGAGGACCGATCCACTGCGTAATGAGAGATTCGATAAGTTAATTCAATTACATATTTGAAACTATTATATACGTGTCCGATTATAAATACGTGTATTAGTTGTATATATACTTACCTGAAATATATTTCCGATGCTTTTAGTAAAGAGACTGCTGCTCAATCCCTGTTCTACACCGTTGTTAAGATCGATAGCCTCCTCTAGGGAGTTCGCCTCCAGGATGTAAACGATCGGGGCGAAAGTTTCTTGTTGTACTATTTCCGCTTCGGCTGATAGACCCGAAATAATTGTCGGCTCGACATAGAAACCGGGTCGTTCTATTTGCTTTCCACCGAACTCTATCGTGCCACCGGCTTTCACAGCTCTCTCAATTGCTGCCTGTGATCAAAAGTATTGAGTTAATCAGAGTTCTATCTCGTTTTTTTTGTATTAATGGAGGAAAAAGAAAGAAATGAACTTTTGCTCAACTTAATACTTTGTCTGAAAGATATTGGAACTGCTGCATTCCTTGCATACCTTGTATTGGTTAACAGCTTGTTGATTATGCAACGGTCCATAAAGCACATTGTCCTCCAAAGGATCTCCGACTCGTTCTAGTATACTTTTATACGCTGTTTTTAATTTTCCTAAAAATGTTTTGCAAGCATAACGTTATTACATTGCCCAAAAACGATCAACATTTGTATTTATATTATTGATAAATAAGAGTTCTGTATCGCGAGTCGTCTCTACCTAAAAATTCATTCTTTATTTTTTTGTGCAATATTAATCTCCTGGTTGTAGTGCATCTTTGTCCAGCTGTTCCAACGCACGAGAAGACCGCCGCTCTCACTGCCATCTCCAAATCCGCATCTTGTGCAACTGTTGACAGAAGAGAAACAGTTACACATATGTTAACGCACACGAGAAGAATTGATTACTTCATCAAGAGATATCCGTACCGATCAACGCATTGTTACCGCCAAGTTCCAGCAAGGATCTTCCGAATCTCTGCTGAACTTTGAGTGCCACTTGTCTTCCTACATCTGTACTTCCGGTAAACGAAATAAGAGGTACCCTGTAACGATATCAAATTGTAACAGTATATGCAATAATATAGTATAATGGATTTAATTGAATTCAAACTGACCGTTTATCATTCACCAGAGTGTCCCCGACCTCCGACCCACCAGTGATCAGGGATGCGACCGAACCCGGGATACCATTACGTTCCAAAACACCCGCGATTATCTTGGTGGTTGCGATGGCTACCAGAGATGTGCTCGACGCTCCTTTCCAAACGATGGTGTTACCGCAGACCAATGCGATAGCGCTGTTCCAGCCGTACACCTGAAACAATTGGAGCGAATCAATACGAGGATTCATAAAGTAGTGCGAGGAGTCGAGTTCTGAAGAATATTTATACTTACCGCTATAGGAAAATTGAACGCAGAGATAACGCCGACCACACCCAGAGAATTCCACTTCTCCAGGAGCGCGTGATTCTTTCTCTCAGACGGAAATAAGCTACCGGGCAGCATTCGCGACAATCCGACCGCGTAATCGCATATGTCGATGAATTCCTGAACCTCGCCTATACCCTCCGGTAATATCTTTCCTATACATGCATGCGATACACATACATATAATATTTCAATTAATTATAGAAATATAGACTGTTATAATGAGTTAAAAAAACAATAATTTACCCATTTCTAAGGATACTAAGGATCCTAGCGGCTTCAAATTTCTCCTCAGTTCATCCCCTATTTGCCGGACAATATCTCCTCTCGCTGGAATCGGGATAGATGTCCATTGTGGCCATGCTTTACGCGCTTCCGTGATAGCATTGCTAGCTTCCTGAGGCGTAGATTCCCGAATCTTCGCTATCACCTTGCCGGTCGCCGGTGATATGGATTCTATTAACTATATTTAAAAATATATTTGTTTTATTAATCGTATACATCATTTTGAGTGACATACAATATGATATGTATTTAATTTTGTTGAAGATTCTCATATCATCGTTATCAATATCGATAAAAAGATAAGATCATGTACCTTTCCAGAACCACCCCATCTTCCATCATAGAGTCCGGGATTCTCGATGGTGATGCCTAATTGCTTTAAAAATCCATATCTCGGATCAGTCACCAGATATCTCGCCATTTGGAATCGGGGAACGCAGCTGCTACTTTTTCCTAACAATACACGTGACATTGCCAGTTATTTGTTACTGGTTACTCTGACTCGTCGAGCAGCTGATATCAATAAGTAGCTTGGGTTATCAGGACGGTACTTTTTATCAAGAGAAAGAAAGAGAGAGAGAAGAAGAAAAACACAAAGATATCTTACATAATCCAAATAAACAGCCAAGACTATCCAAAGAATTTGCTATCCTCAAGTTCCATTTAAACAGTAGATTAATAAATAACTTGTTTCTACCGATCATTATAAGTTTTTTTTTATTTTTTCATATCTGCAATAATAAATAACAATTATTAATATTTTTTAATAATTAAAACAATATTTATATATATTTATTCAGATATTAATTATATAAATTGTTTAATATAATTTTTTGTTGACTAAACTAACAATAAGTAAATTAATATAAATATATAAGAATAGATGAAAAATATACATCTTTTCAAATCTGCGTCACGAATGGCGCGAAGATGACGGTCCAGTTGATAAGTTAATTTAAAAAAATAGAAATAATTAAATGTCAAGCCAATGAAATGACAGCGTCGACATTCAATTTAAATGGACAGAGTCCGCTCTATTCCAGCTGACAATCTGACGCAGGCGTACATACATATACATATGTATAAACACGAGATTACACACTCGTGGTGTGACTACTTGATCGACAAGTGGAACTGGTAGTAGAGACACCAGATCCACCAGACAAGACGCGCCAGATCAAATCATCCAAACGCCAGAAAAATGGCAGACTGCGAGAAGGAGGAGGCGCACAATCTCGTAAGCTATTTACTTTTACTTAACATTTATCTAATCACTTAGACGGCCTTGCGCGCCGTCTCCCTAGCCGCAAATTCAGTTCGCAACGTTTAATGAATCGCCTATCGTTTCATCGTCGAGCAATGAGACTTGAGGTTGTGTCGTTTTACATTTTTCCGATGAATTTTCATCTTACGCCGACGAATTGTCTTATCATTCGAATCGATGTAATCATGTAACGAGTCGTGTAATAAATCTTTGTCAATCCTGCTTTCAGCAAATGGAGTTCGAGTGGGTGCTTCACGAGGAAGTGCACAACTCGTTGTCGCAGCTCAGAAATATTTTGATGGTGCGTGTAAATAATAGAGGATTTGTAGTTCTATATTTACTTTAATCAATCAAGTTGTTATGAATGTCTCACAATTAAGAGAGTTCGACCTGTAACACATATTAATTGTACATATTACTTTTTAAGGAGTGCGCTCAGCGATTCCCATTGGCACTCTTTGGCAACGATCAGCATAACAAAACTGACAGATTCGTCTTCGCAGCCCCACACGATCAAGTGAAATGTGTCGCCGTTTTGACAGGCGACAGTATTACAAATGCGGTAAAGAGTTTAGTGTACTGTTGGAATTGTGTGACTAGTGCTACGTGTTAAAATTATAATTTTGTCTGTCGTATTTTTGTTATATTATTGAAATACTATTTATATATTTATAGGAAGTGAATTTTAAAGTACAACGACAACAGAATATCAATATGAGAACGAGTATTCAAAACGAACATCCCTGGAAATTGCAACAAATTCAAGATGCCGCCAATCATTTACAACAGGGTATCGCTCATATAGATAATGTAGACAGACATTACCTGTTTAAAACATCGGACGAAGTTATGCATGTGCTAGGTAATATCTTGGGCTGTCTTCAAAGGAGCAGAACCAGTTTAATTGTTCCTAGAAAGAAGACAATTGATGATCTTATCAAGAGTCGAAATATGGTATCCAATGTTTATTTTCTTCTGCGATAGACAAGTTTGGTGCAACTGTATTAGTAAAACTGTGTAAAACCTCTTTGTTCACAGAAATCTCTGAATCCAAATCTTCCAGAGAATTTGGCCATTAGCTTTTACATTCAAAGCTACAAACTGGTTTTAGCTATTTATCAGTTAGAGAATGCTCATGGCAGCGTCAAGTACGAAACCCAGCAGGCGGAATGCAGTGTGCCATGGCTAAATGACGCTCTTGTATTGCTTACTATTGCGCTACAACTTTGTCAACGATTGAAAGATAAGGTTTGTAAAAAATTTCTGTCTAATTTGGTCAATTTTTTGATGTTGTAAACTTTTCAGATATGCGTCTTCTCTCAATACAAAGATTTTACGGTAGGTTCTCGTGTTCCTTCCGCAATGGGATGGTAACCTAACACCAAGAAAATTTTCGTATTTAAACGGAATTTGATAGCATATAATGGTGTTATATGCAAGTGAAAAAAAATTTGGCCTCAACCAGTAATGTTTACTCCGGCCTGTGTTTTTACATCTGTTGATTGTTGTCCTCTTATTGTATTTCTCATTGCACTAGAATGTTGTTCTAGCGTTTCTAAATGAGTATAGTGTGCGCCTAGTATAATAATAATAATAATAATAACAACAATAATAATATATACGGTGTATTATGTAATATATTAACTATTGAGTTGGATCAAAGATTTACATAAATATGTAAATCAGCAATGGATAATAACAAATCACTATAGGCTAGAAATGGAAGACTAAGAGCATTTTGCCAATTATTGGTGTGCCTATCACCATGTTATACTGTGTTCTTCCCATTTCTGCAATAGTTTTCATGAATGTCTAAGTCTTTAACTTTGGCAAATAATATTTGAAGTTATCATTTTATCTACAAGAGTTGATAGAATGAAATATTTAATACATTTACTGTGATTCTAGAAATGTATGCTGTAATCCTCTCCTTACTGAACATTTGAATATGCTTTCATATATTAATAGACACATGAATTTTTTTATCTTTTCTCTTTTATATTATTTGTTGCTTGTGCATAATTATCTATATAGAATTATTTACAATTGTCTTAATATCACAGATTGTTCATGAAATAATGTCGTTTATCTTTTATATTTTATTGTAACTTGTTAATACTTGACAAAATTAATTATTGTAACTTGTTAATGTTTGACAGAAATAAGAGATAGATAATCCGATGCAATATTAGTAATTTATGTTAATGTGATCAAAGTTTATATTTATTCTAAACTTTTTAATAAATATTTTCTTTATTAAAAATTGGTCAAAATTGTTCAATAAAACAATAGGTTGATGAATAATTTAGTAAATATAATGAGTTAAATAAGATCAGTGAATTTAGTTTTGCTGAGTTATTAAAAACGATATTATTTTTTCAGACAATCTATTTATATTTTTGTGTTATCTTGCGCAAAAAAAATTCTTCAAAAATATCAGAATATGAATATTCAAATGCAATAACTTGATATCTTTCTGCTAACAAGAAAATTTACTAACTTATAATGATTATTGCGTATAACTGTAAAAAAATACTATTTTATTTATGAAATTTTATTATTTATATAAAGATAATAAGTAGAAAAATACCACGTGCCTCATGATCCCGAATTTGAATGTAATACGAACCTTTTTACATGATGGTACAATTTTTGTAATCAGTATTTTTGATTACTAAAATTGCCATAGATAAAATATACACGTAACATGTGTTTGTATGTATATTTGTATGCATAAAAGCGCACAAATACACACTCATACACACATATATATATATATATATATTTAAAAAAAGAGAGGAAAGAGAAGAGATTGCCAAAAAATATTGATCTAGATTGGTAACACAGTAGGGAAAGGATTAAGATTTAAAATTAAACAGAAGTGCTTAAATATAATAAGTAGTTAATAATTCAAATAAAGAATTGAAGATGTGTGTAGGAAAAAATAAATTTCCACACAATTTTTGACGGCTTACAACTAGTGAAGTGATTTTTAGATATTGATATCATGTTTTAAAAAATTAGATATATATTCAACAGCTATAAATAATTTAACGTTAAAGTTTGATGTGTCATCGCAGTTAAATGAATAAAGTTACATATAACTGTAACTTCTACCCTATTAAAGTAGCTGTATAGACACAGCAAGAACTACTATAAAAATAAACTCTTGCCAAGTCATTATTATGTATATACAATATTTCCACATATCTGTGTATTAAAAAAAATTAAGACCTAATGTTTATTATTTTAAGAATTTAATTATAAATTAACCATTTTCGCAAAATAGACATAAACACACACACATACACACACACACACACACACACACACACACACACACACACACACACACACATATACATATATAGATATATAATTGTATTATTTTAAATATTAAATTTATATATAAAGTATGTTATTTATTATTTGTTAATATATTAAACACACATACACAATCTGTTCTATATTTGCTTGAAAGTTTATTAGGTATAATTGTACTTATGTAAAAAAAATTTACATGTTTAATTTATTTGAAACAAAATTAATAAATGTCTGAATTGAATCATTTTTTGTTCTTGTATATTTTTGCCATAATCTGATTTTTTAAATAGAAATTATATGATTCCTTAAAATCTATAAAAATGTGGATAACAGATTATTTATTTAGATTACAAAGACACTATACATTATATGCATTAATTCAATGTTTTACTCGAGTGTAAGAGATAAGAGAGACTTTTCTTAAAGATCATATATCTATAAATAGATCATATAATGTACATAGATCTATGTATATATATATTACGTAATAATTTAATCACATATAAAGCTATGTAGAATTATGTGCTACAACTTGAGGTTTGTATTCGAAAGGTTTCATTACATGGCTCGTTGGTCTAGGGGTATGATTCTCGCTTCGGGTGCGAGAGGTCCCGGGTTCAAATCCCGGACGAGCCCAAGTTCGAAATTTTTGCTGCATCTATTAATTTAATATTTTATTCTTTTACTAAATATTTTATCAATGATGTTATTACGCATATAAATCTCACGTACAAATACGAATATGTTTTAAAATTGTAAGTACAGATTTGCAGTCGGGAAGACGCGCTACAGATGACAGATGTTTTGAAGCACATGCAACGACATGTCGTGGAATCCTTCGAAAAATCATAGCGAACGCGAAAGGCAAGTCAATAATAGCACTATAAGAAATATATGTTCAAATATGTATACGTATATACATATTTTAAATAGAATAATTTCATATTTTCACATTTTCTTTTTACAGCTTATAAAATATGTTACATATCATGTTAACCTATAATGTCAATCTGAATGACATTTATAATGTCAAAATTAAATGAGAATTAAATAAGTTACAAAAGTTTAGATGTTTTTTTTTATCAAAAATTACGCCAGTTTAAAAAATAATACAAATTGTTTTTAATATTTCACATTTGTTAACATAAATTTTTGCATTTTGAATTTACCATATGACATGTCGTCTTTTACAGATGGGTGTGTATTTATCCAATATATTTGAACAATAAGAGGAGTTTAAAAGACGGACGAAAGTTGGTCAAGGACAAATGTGTGGAGAATCCAACGCATCAGGAAATACGGGATGTGTTGGTAGCAGCAGGTTTTAACGTAGGCGTCGAGAACAAGCTACATCCCAAAGAACGTAGCAAGGAACCTCTGTTTCGCGGTCGTATTCGCGTACAATTGAAAAACGACGATGGTACACCGATACGATCCGAGTTTCCCACTAGAGATTCTCTCTTGGCATATATTGGAACCACAATTCCAAAGTTAAAGACTCGTCAGGGTAAACAAAGTTCTAGCGAGCAAGCATCGCAGCCATCCGCATCAACATCAAAGAAAGGAAAAGGCAAAGGAAGGAGATAAAGAAGAGGATGTGGAATCACTTGTCACATGGTGCATATTTCTTTCATTATGTGAAACATTAATTGTTTGTTGTATGAATGTAATATAATAATAGTAAGAAATTGAGGTTTTAGACAATTTAAAAGACAATGCATTTAATTTATATTATTTTAATATGACTAATTATTTTCATTTTTTTCTGCATTGATGATATTATTTACATCATTAGATTGCTTTACCTTATTATTGGAATATACAGTTTTGTCAGTTGAAACTTCATCTTTCTGTTCCGCATTGGCATTATTCGTGCAGTAAGAGTTTGGATTAGGCGCAGTAATTAGTGGATCTGATATACCATGTACATATTGTGGTATATATCCTGGTTGGACAATATATTCCTCAGTTATAGGATGAAGTACTTCCATCAAGGGATTATGATAAGAAGTATATGGAATATTAAAGGGTGGATATTGTATCGGTTCATACATTGCATTTGCATCGAAGAAATATGGTGTTATAGAATGATACGTTGGTTTAAATAATCTGGGAATGTTTGCAGCAACATTTTGATCAACAGGTTTATCCTGAAAAAGATAAATTTTGATATATAATTTTGATTTGTTTTATTACAAACCAAGAGATAATTGTATTTAATATATTTTAATATATCAAATAATTATTCATGAGGTGCATCAATATACAGAGTATCGTAACACAATATATCAATATACAAAGTGTTACAATTTGATGTGAATATATATCAAAATGTTAAATGATTCTGGAACTTAATTTTAATGACAAATTTTCTGATCACTTTTCAATTTTATTAAAGAAAACTTAAAAATTTTCAAAAATTTATCAAAAAATCTGTATATTAATATTCTAATTGTGAAATATATTATATATTTTTTAATGAAACTAAACACTTATATTTATTATATTATTATGAAACTTACAGTATTACTTTGGGCAGTAGAAAATTCTTTAGAAGCAGTAGAACTACCATCATTTTCATATGGTTGACTGATTAAAACTGGATTTTTATCCTGTAATGATTAAAAAGATATACTTAAAAGATATATTTAATTAAATTTTTATTATATATATATATTATTTATAATATTAAATTATATTTCATAATTGCATATTTCAACTTAAATTTATATTTATTGAGAATGAGCGTTCAGTGAAATTTATTATATGGGGGAAGGGGGGATTGTAAATTCTTCTATTAGACGTTACTTACGTTAGAATTTCTGCCATAATGTACAGGACGATGACCAGGTGACCAACGATGATGGCTAAATAAATTGTGCAAAAGTACCGGAAGACTATCCGTTTTATGCAAACGATGGTGGGACCCGTGTCTGTAAGGATGATGGATAATCGAACCCACCACTGGGCTTGCTGCATCGTATATGTTTGCTGAATAGCTGAGAGCTGGATGTATCATTCCAATGATTGGGATTTCTGCATCGGATATAGCTGGACGTGATCCGGCCTCTTCTATCATGTACAATGAAGAGTTGCATGTATTCCAAGAAATCGGACTATTTAACGATATTTCACCGTAAAATTCATTTTCGGGTTGCTTTGTCTCGTCGAGGACACCCGAAAATGAATTTGTTGCAGAATCGCTATCATAAGCCGCATTGAATGCTTTGATAAAATGGGAGTGACCAACCACTGGTCCTTCATTGATAAAATACTGTGCCACTTTGTCGGCATCTCCTACAAGGCAATTCGCTAGTCTTTACTTTAAATATTGGAGACCGATCATATTCAAATATGTAGAAGACGTTTCAATTCTCGTAGTCTTTCTTAATCAAATGTCTTGCATTTTTGTATTTCTCGCGTATTTGGATATTTAATTAATAGTTAATCTTCTATATATAAACAAAAAATTACTTGTGCATTATTAAATTACTTATACAATTTTATAATATATAAATATATTATTATATAATTGATTATAATATATAATTTTATAATATATTTATATATTATAAAATTGAGTCAAACTATTTTCAGATAGAAACGTTTTCAAATAAATTAATTTAGATTGTTTCGTCTTTTTATATTTTTTGATATTTTATGGCAATATGTTATTCGATATATAATTGAGAGCGAAGTGAGAGCATACACGTGACACACTTATATGAAGACTTACAATTAGGTAAATATAGAAGATTGAAATGCTTTACACACAGTTACTCCTGTCTTACCCATTCTGAGACGATGTCTGGATTTTAAAATAGAGCGCACGCCTCGCTCCTCATCCGTGGAATCCTCAGAAAGTATATTCAGATCGATTGCTTCAATTTCTCTCTGTATGCGCTGTATGCACTCTGCTCCTAAAATTATATATCAATGAATGAATGTAAAATGTATGCTATTTTCTTGGAAATTATTTCTGCGCAGCCCATCTTTGTAAAATATTAGGAACTTGTGATTGTGATAATACCTTTATCATTATTGTCAGATAAGTTACATTCACAGCGGTCATCTGTAAATACTGCAGATGTGTTACATTGTTTACACAGCAAGTCGCAAGATTCAGCATCATTTATGTTCAACAGGGTGCAGTGAGCTGTCGTTGCTATAAATATACCATATTAATTAATACATTAATTATTTCATTAAAAAATATTGCTAGATTTAAAAATCCATTAAAGAATATATAAATTATATATTTATAAGATATATAAATTCATTACAAATACCATTAGATATAAAAATTAGATTAATAATTATATAGATATATCTAAAATGTTTTAAGTAGACTATAGTATAAAGAACATTTGTATGATACAAATATCTTATTTAAAAACTTTAAATTATTTTTAAGAATTCCTTCTTTGATTACTTAGGATTGTTTTAGTAAAAACATTCTAGATTGAATAGAGTTATTGAAATAATTGAATTAATTAAAAAGATATTTATATATACGAACCAATATAGTAAAGAGTAACAATTAACCATAGAACTCGATGTCGAACAGCCATGTCGTTTAATAAATTTGTAACAAAAGTAAGAAAAAAATCGGATATAAATCGTATACGTGATCCTGCACTGTACTGTCATAAGAGGCACAGTTGGATCTTTATTTATAATAGTTGACATTGTGCACAATTTGCAGATTATTGTTTTTTTAAACTGCTTCTCTGACATCATTAATGCAATTTCGCGTTTTAATTTACCAAGTGCAATCCGCTTGCATAATGTCATGTCCATGACATATTGAGTCACAATTATATTCAAGGAACGATTGCAATAATATACCTGTTTTTGACTTGCGCGTTTAAATAAGCTTATTGTATTACGCTTTCATAATTTTCGTCGAATTTATTCCACTGATAAAATTGCACAATATATATATAATATTTTATATACGTAAATGATAATTTAAAATTAGACGTCGAATGACAATTCTAAATATAATTTTGACAGTCAATATTTTGTGTAAAATTAAATATTTAAAAAGATTTTTCTTTTTATCGCGATATATTGCTTCTCCTATGCTGATTAAATTAAAATTTTTTAATTAATGTTATAAGATAAAAAAAATACCTTCGCCGTGACAATGTTTTTATACATTGCCGTGACCAGGATTCGAACCTGGGTTACTACGGCCACAACGTAGGGTCCTAACCACTAGACGATCACGGCTACCGAAGGTCGTGTAAACGAATTAGATTTTTAATGATAACACTATCATGACATATATATCGAGTATTTCTAAATACGTGTGCAATTGTAGAAGAAATAATCGCACGCATATAATTCAGATGAAAAGGATAGATATCTCTGAAATCTTTGAATATGCAGCAAATTTTTATTGGAATATTATTCGTGCAAGATTTTTCCATTTTTCGAAACAAAACGAGATTATTTACATTTTGCGGATATCTCACGCTCTTGTATCATTAGCGAAATTTAAACATTTAGGATGATTAATTTAGGCTCGTTTAAAATTTAGGCGCGAAGATTGGCCAATAACAGCTGAGCGCTGCTTACGATTACGACGCGACGCTTGGCCAATGACAGCTCAGCGTTACTTAAGATTACGGCGTGACGCTCGGCCAATCACAGCGCGAGTTCAATAACTCAAGATATTCAAACGCGAGATTCAGTCAGTTACGCGCCTCAACTTCGTCTTCGTGTCCGCAATCGTGTCGGTGGTATGCATTTTGAGTGAATTTTGTGAGTGATTCGCGATCCTGCTGAAATCAGATAGTATTATATTCGCGATATAGATCAAGAGGGAATAGTGGAACGTAAGAGCAAGGCCCGAACGACGATAATATGCGATCAATCCGTGCATCGATCGGATATATGCACTTACCTGATGCAAGTGCCGCGAGTGTCCATTAAGTGATTTGTATGTCTTTCGATCAGCCTAAAGTGGAGTGAATCCGCAAGTGTCTGTGAAGTTAAAAGAAATTAGCATATAGTCAGTATATTATATGGTGCTTCATCAGCTCAAAGATTATTATTGGATTACGGGAAGAAAGAAAAAAGCTACCCCTCCTCCTCTCCACCCCTCTGTAGGATTCATCACTGGTGAGTGCACTTGTTACATTTGCATTACCAATTGTTTAATTGTTTCATGCACTCTGTGATTACTTAATCACGTTTTCGTTATCACTTTTGCGATATTTCGTTAAAACATCGATTTTCGTATATTTCATTGAAAATGTAGACGACAATGCAATCCCGAGTGTAGAAGGGTAAACATAAAATGGCGAAGATAGATTCTATATTATATATCGCCACTGATAGATGTCGCCAATAGTTATCGCCACAGTCGGTAATCGATAATTTATCGTACGAGGTATTGTTACTTTGAATAGTGTTTGACAGTCGGTATATATCTCTGTATTATCAACCGTGATTCGTGTATGATTTTCGCGATGCACTTCTCAGCGAATTATTGATACATTGCAATTGCAGTGACAAGTGTTATATATAGTGACAATAAGAGAGATTATACGTTTCGGGGATAGTACTCTTTCGTAGAAATCGTTGTCCTCGAACAAGATTAATATTTTTTGACAGCTATCAGCTGATTTCTGTCAAAAAATATTTTTTGAATTTAAAATATTATAACATTTACTTTCAGTATTATTATTTTAATTCTTATATAACATATTTTTATTATAATATTTAATTAGCAAATTAACTCTTTTTAATAAGCTGATTTCTGTTAACAAATATTCCAGTTCAAATAAACTTTATATTATTTTTTAAAAATATTCTTTTTAATATAAAAGTGAAGAATGGCGCACATTTATTCTGTTATTTTAAGTTGTAAGAAATATATATAGATTGCTTTTTTACCAAATTTGCATTTGTAAATGGAAGATATCTGTTCGAATAAAAAAAAAGAAATAAAGCTATTTTTTGCTCGCTATTCTTTTCTAAATGTGAGCGTAAATGGTGTAAAAATATTTGCGCCTTTTATCTGATAGAAAAAGACATAGTAGGTATCACTATCTCTTTCGTTGCTATGCTGTGTCTATGATTGTCGGCCATTGCGTTAAATGTCATCTCGAGAGCGCGGCGGCGCGTACATCAATCGCATTCAGGCTCGTATCGATTTACTTTGACGGTTAGGAAATATTTTCAAAACAGGATATTATTTTTCCATCAGTAATTTTTCATATATCCAAATTTTCGCAGAAATTGCAGATTGGAAAGAATCATTATTATATTTTATATATGAATAAAGTTTATAGCCCCGTGAATAAATTTTATTAATTATTTGTAGTGGTTTTTATTCTTAGAATCTGTGTAGTGGATATTTAAATATATTTCGTTTTTCAATTACTAAAATATATATTTTAATTTATAAATATTTATCATCATTTTATTTTACTTTTATTACTTTTTATAAACTAGATTTTATTCTGTTCTTTTATATTGTGTAATATCATCATATTCACATTACATACACATGGAAAAGTGATATATGAGAATTTGGTTATCAATGTGTAAATTGTATTATATACAGCTTTCAAATAGGGTCAAAATCATACGATACATCAGATAGATGAAGAGCGGTATAATTTGAGCGTTGCAAATCATATTGCCTTTAATACAAGCTATAATGAAAGCATTAAATTTTGAAAATTTTATTAAAGATAGGAGTTCCATCAATACATATTTGGCTTAAATTTATCATATTTAAAAGTTAAATAATACACACACCATATTTAAGTATTAGAAATTCTATTACATTTGCCCTAAAAGTATACATATTAAAAGAGAGTGTCAAATATTTTGAAAAATCTTCTTAAAATAGTTTCCTTCTCAATCGATGTAGTAATTGAATGTAAAATGATTTAATAATGTCATTGATTCTTTCATGTGGAAATTTTGCTGAGTGGTTAAAAATAATTCTGATATTGAATTATAGTACACAAGTGTGTCATCGCGGTACCTTAAATGGTACATCACAAAAACGACACGTTCCTGGAACGTCGCGTAGGCGTCTAACGTAAGAGCTGTATAAAACCACTTGCTTCATCATGCTTTCCCGATCACGAGGGTCTCCGGGAGAGCCTACCTCAACTAATAATAAGCTGATAACAGGGTTTGGTGTCGTCTTGCCTCTCTTTCCTGTTCTCGTTATTCTCGTTCCGAGTGTGTGCTTATCGTAGGATCGTTAGAGAAAATCACGAACACGCGTGTGAAAATATTTCGTTTGGAGGATCCCGAAGATCATTCTGTAGTATTGATGACATTGAGTACGGATAAGTCGATCACATCTCGAAGTCGAATAAATATATGTATATGACGCGATTCAGGAAGGAGAGAGAAATCTGAGAGCTATATACAGAATGTTTTTAGAATTATTGGAGTTCTTATAGTTTTATTTCTTGTATGAAAATCTCAAAGAAATCATTATTTAATGCGTTCTTTTAATTTCCTTTAAAATACAACATAAATATATATATCTTTATAATTAAGCAATTTTATATATCTATTAAATTTGTTCAAAATTAAAAAATTATTAAAAATTTATTGAAAAATATTACTCCCTTTTTTCCTATCTTTTTTCCTGAAATTTAAATCTTCGAATTTCAATTATTAATTATTTAAAGACTGTATTTTTTATACTTTGACATTTTCTTTAAAAAAAAATAAATTCTAAATAAGTGAAAGTTTGTAAATCTAATGATTTCAAGATATTCTATATAATTAGTCGTCATTATCATTGCGCGTTTCATATTTTATCGCGCTCTTCTCGAAATCTTTGAGCATTTTATCGATCCGTTTCGTACAATCGGCAGAATATTTGTGATCAACGTCGTATGCCTTAAAAATGAAGAAACACTATTAAATTTTACGCGAATTGCTGTGAGAAGATAGAAATTGCATCTATAAAACCACTTATACCTTTTTAGTGAAATCAGTTTTTAATCTTTTGTCTTGGAATATCATTTTTTCGCCGGTTCTCAAGTTATCGAAAACTTTTATTCTCAACGGTCCAAATTTCTTTTGAAATTTTTGCACATCTCCCGCGCATTCCTCCTCTAACTTTTGTATATCGGCGTGAATTTTTCTTTCTTCCGCGCCCAATTGGTCCACTTTTTTATTAAACTTTTTTATATCGTTATACGCATTTTGATAGTCTTTCCGCATTTTTGTTCGTACTTCTTCGATAAGCTATATATTACGCGGTAAAAACAAAATAATTTTGCTACATATATTTAATATTTCTTATTTTATAAATATATATAATTTAAAAAAATCTAAAATTTTTTAATACTAAAAATGTTAATCTTTACTGAAGTCTAGATTCTGGGAAAAATAAAATTTATCACCTTTTCAATTCCAGTTTTGATTACATTTTTTAGTGAATCCGGCGCGTTTGCGTATTTATTGAATGTCTCATCAACTCGTGTCTGATTAGTTTTAATCCACGTATCGATTTTACCGTTGACCTTGTCGTCATCATAATCCATCAAGAACGTATCCTCGTTCGTAACATTATCCTGCACTCTTGCCAACACTTCGGAACTCCAGTGTAAAACACGATCTTTCTCCTCCAGGAGACCTTGCCATGTTTCAGGCATTCTACCCATAGTTTGACCCATTTTGCCAAACTGTATCTTGTCAAACTTTTTTTTCAGAGAAAATAGAAATTATTAAATAAAATTAAATAAGATTATATCAGACACATATCCATCTATTAAAAAGATTAGAATATCTCGTGCGTCTTTAGTAATAATCTACAATGAAATCTTGAGAAATCTGCGAGAATAATCGAGTTTAATATTACATTAAATCTCTAACCTGATTTTTTATAAATTTTATGTTCTTTAATGGGTTTATTAAATTTCTTGAGATCTTCGCGATTAAAATAACGTTTTCTACAATGAGAAAATTATTCGAGGATCTTTATATATCGCCAAACTGAAAATTTTGGGAATTAAAAATGTTTACTATTATAATCTAATTGGAAAAACTATCTGATGTTTGTCTCTCGTTACATCAAATACTACTGCTCTCTTTTGTTCGTCATGTTCAACATAATGAAATTTAACGCAGGAATATAATTAAATAAACTATCTAATTATATACGGTAAAACAATAAATAAGCTGTTTTTGATTATTTCATCACATATTGAAATATATTTAAAACAGTCTATTTATTGTTTGTTAAATATATTTAAACATGTAATGAAATAATTAAAAACAGTTTATTATTATTGTTTTACCATATAATTATATAGAGAGTTTATTTAAGTATATTGTCATTATAATGCCAAGTGATGCAAAATATATAGAAGCATTTTTCTCTTTACAATTATAAAAAAATAATTTCGCATTCTAAATTTGATTTTTCATGCAATATAAGTTTCAAATAATTTCTAATAAACTTCTTTCGATATTATTGCTCTCTTAGTTTCTTAGTATTATCGCGAGTTTCCATTAGAAATAAGAAGATTGACTTTCTATTATCTTTTATTGTCTATGACCATCTTCTCGTTTCCAATGTGGGAGTGCGCTATTTAAATAAATATAAATTTATAGTTTTATGGCTATTGTAATCTCTTCGTACGGTGGCGCCGCGCAACGACAAGTTCTGACGCTAACATCAGCGTTAAACATATTCGCGCCGCTATTGATAAATTCTTTCGTACGTGGTAAATGCGTATTATACGCTTGCTCGGTGGAAGGCGGTGAAATTACGCGGAAAACGAGAGCCGGTTGCGTCTTTCATAGCCATTTGAATACGAATGTCGAGTTTGTTTCGCGAGAACGAGGGGATGAAGGGAAAGCGCGCGAGGTCAGAGCGTTGAGAGCGTGCGCCATTTTGCTTTTCGCGTCGACTCCCGGTGGAAAAAAGAAACTAGGACGGATGTCCGCCTGTCGCGGAAAGCCTGCGGGATTGAATCGCACTCGCGCGTCGGCGGTGTCAATTCAAAGCGACGTAATCTCCGCTGTGCGCGACCAATAATCGGCTTATTGATTTTGATTCGCGCCTCGCCGCGAAGGCCTATGCACGCGTAAACGTTCGTAGAGATGCGTCGAGAGAGAAAGAGAAAGAGAAAAAAAAACCGCGGAAACCAATCAGAAACCCCACCCGGAGAGAAAACTGGCCGACTGACTCCCCAAGTAGCAAACTGACGTCAGTTTGACGTCTAATGACGTCATACGTTTGCTACTTGGGTCTCTACTCTTCGACAGAATTTTTGTTTATGATAAAACAAAGGTAATGATAGTTTTTATCTCAAGTTTTTCGAATATTCGTGATGATAAAATTTACAATTCAAATCTCTCCTCTTGCATTTATATCTACTAGAATATGTTGTCGACGGATATATTAATAACGGCTATAACTTATTACATGGATTTTCTTTTGGAGATGGCTTACTGTCATCTCGTAATCGAAATACTTTATTTCTCGTTTTTATTCAGATTAATATATATAAATACATACTATAATGTCAAAATGATTAGCATACAATTTTGTGATGTCAATTTGAAGAAGATACATTTCTTGTCACTATATATAAATCAGTTTTACAATACAGTTTTATTTTTACAATCTCAAAATAATTTCCATTACACATTATATATACACGATCAATACACTTTTTCCTTTAAATTTAACTAATCATTTGCTTACTTGAAATTGCGTTTTCTATTGAAAGAACAGATATTTATATAGGAAGTTTGTGATTTGCAATTTAAGCGTATTGCAAGACTTATTCAACGATTTATATACTTAAAGATTATTTTTCCATTAGCAGAATATTTACTATATTAAAATATAAACATTTGCCCGAAATATTTTGGGGTCAGCGTATAAACGCGATGTTGAAACAAACAAGTAATTATATGTCCGCGGTTCTCTTGAGATACTCTTTCATATAGACTTAGTAAATTATGTATTTCGCGGGAATCCTTTTCTTCGGAAATGTTCGTAAAACAGCTTCTCCAACTTTTAATACGGTTACACGGTCGAGGGAGTTCGCACCACAACGTCAGTACAGTTAAGAGTTAATCCTCGCAACGTTCGGCTCCCGGGGGACCGTCGCGGGCCAGGGGGCCGTAAACGAGGGTGGACGGGGGTGGGACATCTTTATGCCCGATGATGATGGGAATTTGCTTTTCATGGAATTACAAAGTAATCCCTTCGCACGCGTTCCTGCGCATTAAAACTGTCGCGCGCGCAAAGCGAAAGTTTCACCGCGCTGTAACTAGTTGACGCTTTTAACGACCCCGGCGTTTATTCGCACACATTTACGTAAAATCCCGCATATATGTAGTGTTTAGATGTTTTTAAAACTAGTTAGATAAAGATCAGTTAAATATGTAAATTTATTTTAGATGAGAAAGATGATTTCGTTTTAAATATATCTAAATTATAAAAGAGATATGAAAACATATATTCATACTTTTATTTATAAGTTTTTATCTTTTACTGCTCAAGTATTTTTATATATGTGTTGTGGCCCTAAATCAAATTATGCAGATAAAGATAATATCTATTTTATATAAAGATGACGAAAAACCGTATCTAGATGTGATCATCTGTTTTATTTAGATTTAAATAACAGCAAACACTGCATATACGAGGTGAACCTCACCCTCTCTTTCCATCCTCTTCGCCATGAGTGTCGTATACATGTATGTATATATATATATATATATATATATATATATATATATATGTAAAAGTATAACGTGCTCGGCTTTATGGTACCGTTCGAGCGACAAATTGAACTAAAAATAACCGCTTTGCGCGCCGATGCCACCTGACTATTCGTGCGTGCGCGAAGGTGGCCTCGCGCCGAGTACGGAATATACACTTCACCTGGTTGCTCCTTTGAGGCCGTGGCGCCGCGCCGGGAAAATCGCCTTGCGAATTATGTATCCACACGTATGCATGTGCGCGCGGCTTTTTACAGAGCCTGTGTGACCTACCTACCTTTCTCGCCCACGTTAAATACTTTGCTCGGCTGTAGGTTGCACGGATCATCCATGGGGCTCGCTTCAATGCTAGACGAGCTGTGTGGAATGAATGTCGATATTAATGCAGTCGGTTGCGTTTTAACTCTTTACTCATTTTATTATTGTTGGTTATATATAATATTTTTATATCTTTAATATTATATGACTCGCTCAAGCTGTGCGGATATTATTAATGCATTTTAATTCTTTTTATAATTTTTCATTATTATTATTATTACACAATATTTTTATATCATCGGTATATTATGATTTCTGTTCCTAAAAAGAGACGCGATTTCGATATCTGTTATGACGTATCAATGTCGTTTTTAATTTTTCGCGAGGCATCGCAATAAAACATTGATTGCGTTTCCACTAATCATCTCGCTGGTGAATCTTGACACGTTGACAAAATATCGTTACTGTTTGCACATATACATACGTGTATATGTATGTATATCTCCCTTTGTACAAGTGCACGTACACATATGCGCAGTCTCGAAATTGTTCGATATTTTTACGGACGAGTACAAGCCACACGGATACGTACACACGCGAGCGAGATTCATCCATCCGATCAGTGGGTTCGACAGTGAATACACGGACAACTTGGTTGAGGGCGATCGGATCCTTTCCGCGCGATAGATCAAAACCCGGATCTCGCCGAATCGACACGTCTAAGTACGGGCCAGCTGACACAAAAAGGGGGCATAGCTTCCGGTTTTGTCAGTCAGAAAGAATTAACATGCATGTGTGTGCTAGCTCGCGTATCAAAGGGGTTGACGGTAATGTCGTCGTCTGCGCGCATATTTACCTATAAAATAGTTGTTGTCGTGTTATCATTTTGGAAACCAGGGTCATTAAATTATGATTATTTATTTGTTATTTTATCTCGTATATTTATATACATTAAATATATGATATCAGTCTTCGCATATTTTTTTAAATGAAAATTACAACTAACTTTTAAAATTATATTTATTTTCCTTAAAAAAAGATTCTCGCATTTCGTTTTTCCTGCATTTTGTAAATATTGGTGTCAATTACACATTACATAATATGTTGCAATTTTTTTCTGTTGTCAGTTTCGCAGATTTTTTTGGTTGTCAATTCTTCTGCAAATTACATATGTATCTATCTACGATTGCAAATATGTATACTAAATCGCGAATGTATGAAATATGTAAATGAAACATGATTGCGTACGATACAATTTCTGCAAACTGAATAATCAGGATCATCTTACAGAATAATTATTTTAACATTATATATTATGTAACCGTTCTTTTAGAATTTCATTCAGCGATTTGTCAACTTCTTGTACTCTTAAGCATTTTGATCCATCAGTTAAATAAAGTCTCCACTTTGTATTAAAGGATAAATGCTATTCCATTAGCATAAGATTTCAACTATAAAAAAATCTATTATTTTTTTGCGCTATATGTATATGGTATATTAATAATTAATAAAATCCGTATAATGATTTCTCGCGTTTACTTGAGATAGCGTATTATTTTGTCAGCACTTTACTTAATTAAAGCGAAACTCGACTGATATCTCAATACGATTAAGAAGCTATTCCGGATTGCTTTGGAATCTAGTTTCTCTAATTGAGTCGGCCACCGCGCACGAATGA